CTTCATCTTGGATAATTGCCCTATTCAAATCTGAGAGGTGCCTCTGTTACTGTGACAAGTGCCCCTTTTCCTTTGTAAGAGTTTCCCCCTTTAAATAGCTACCCCCATTTTAACTCGGATAAAGCAAATATTTTCACATGTTCCCCTTTACCTTTCTAATAAGCGCCCCCATTAAAAAAGAGCCCCTTTACCTTATCATAAATGCCCCTTTTCATCTCTGGTAAATGACCTTTTTCAGGTACGAAGAGTTACTCCTATCAACTTCAGATAAGTGCCCGCTTCACTTCCGATAAATGCCCCTTTAAAATCTGATCGGTGCCCATTTTCTTTCAACAAAATAATGCACATTTTCCTTTATTAAAAGTGCCCCTTTTTTATTCACATAAGTGCCCCTTTTTATATCTGGTCTTTGCCCATTTTCAGGTGCGATAAGTGCCTCTTTTCACCTTTGATAATTTCCTTTTTACCAATGATACGTACCCCTTTTCCTTTCTAATAAGGGACCTATCCCCTTTTCATAAATACCCTTTTCACCTTAAATGCCCCTATCAAAATCTGATGGGGGCCCCTTTTCCGTCGACAAATGCCAATTTTCCTATTCTCATGAATGACTTTTTTCATCCCTGGTGAGTGCCTCCTATTGAAGTTGTAAGAAATGCCCTATTTTCACCTCTGATAATTATTTTGTTGTACCGACACATGCTCTTTATCTAGAAAGTGCCCTTTTTTCTTGGTGCCCCCCCCCCCACTTTGGAAGTCGCTCGGCCGTCCCTGCCCTTCGACCATAATAGCTTGGGCTTGATAGGGTATTTTTATTATACACCGGTTATGGGGAGATATATATATACCGGGCTATGGGGACATTGATATATACCGGGCTATGGGGACATTGATATATACCGGGCTATGGGGACATTGATATAAACCGGGCTATGGGGACATTGATATATACCGGGCTACGGGGACAAATGTCCGCGCACCACGGGGGGGGGGGGGGGGGTAGTGAGCACAATTCTTTTTTTGGTCCTCGAAAATTTAAAAAATTGCACCCCCCCCCCTTTGAGCGCAAGGGGTGGGTCCATCTCCAAAAAAAGGTAAACTTAACGTGTTTTTTCACGTTTTTTTCCTCAGCCCCCCCCCCCTCCCCCCGGATCCGCCACTGGAGTATGCGCACGGTATTTGTATATAATTATAGGTTTGCCCAATCATTTCCAAACGATCGTCATTCAATTTCATTAGTGCCTCCACTTTTTCAAGCACCCGAAAAGTGCCCCTTTTTACATAGGAAAAGTGCCCCTTTATCTTTGTAAAAAGTGCCCCTTTTTTACATAGGAATAGTGCCCCTCTTACCTAACAAGTGTCCCTATTAATTTGTCAAATTGACCCTTCCCCTTTTCATCTGTGATAAGTGCCCCTTTTATTTTCACACGTGCCACTTTTCCTTCGACAAGTTCCCATTTTCCTTTGCAAAAAGTGTCAATTTTCCATTCTAATAAGTGCCCTTCTTAATCTCTATAGTAAGTGCTCCTTTTCAGGTACGAGAAGTGCCCTTTTTCACTTTTGATAAGTGCCCCCTTCATCTTGGATAATTGCCCTATTCAAATCTGAGAGGTGCCTCTGTTACTGTGACAAGTGCCCCTTTTCCTTTGTAAGAGTTTCCCCCTTTAAATAGCTACCCCCATTTTAACTCGGATAAAGCAAATATTTTCACATGTTCCCCTTTACCTTTCTAATAAGCGCCCCCATTAAAAAAGAGCCCCTTCACCTTATCATAAATGCCCCTTTTCATCTCTGGTAAATGACCTTTTTCAGGTGCGAGGAGTTACTCCTTTCAACTTCAGATAAGTGCCCGCTTCACTTCCGATAAATGCCCCTTTAAAATCTGATCGGTGCCCATTTTCTTTCAACAAAATAATGCACATTTTCCTTTATTAAAAGTGCCCCTTTTTTATTCACATAAGTGCCCCTTTTTATATCTGGTCTTTGCCCATTTTCAGGTGCGATAAGTGCCTCTTTTCACCTTTGATAATTTCCTTTTTACCAATGATACGTGCCCCTTTTCCTTTCTAATAAGGGACCTATCCCCTTTTCATAAATGCCCTTTTCACCTTAAATGCCCCTATCAAAATCTGATGGGGGCCCTTTTTCCGTCGACAAATGCCAATTTTCCTATTCTCATGAATGACTTTTTTCATCCCTGGTGAGTGCCTCCTATTGAAGTTGTAAGAAATGCCCTATTTTCACCTCTGATAATTATTTTGTTGTACTGACACATGCTCTTTTTCTAGAAAGTGCCCTTTTTTCTTGGTGCCCCCCCCCCCACTTTGGAAGTCGCTCGGCCGTCCCTGCCCTTCGACCATAATAGCTTGGGCTTGATAGGGTATATTTATATACACCGGTTATGGGGACATATATATATACCGGGCTATGGGGACATTGATATATACCGGGCTATGGGGACATTGATATATACCGGGCTATGGGGATATATACCGGGCTACGGGGACAAATGTCCGCGCACCACGGTCTGGTACAGACAGACTAATTTTGTTTTTATTTGAATGTATTTCGTATTTCAAATGATATATAATGATATATAGTTTCGCCTCGAATAGCTTTACATATCCTACGTTGAGATTGCTTTAATAACCCACGGCAAGTCCAAGTCCCCGTAACGCGGTCTCATACACAAGTCCCCATAGAACTAGTTTTATATGTATACGTATATATATATATATATATGTATAAAAAAAATTATATAGGCGTGAAGAAAATGGCCTAGGAACGTAAGACGTAGCTGTACTTTACATTTTTATTACGAGCTTTCGGCTTGTGTGGCCTTCTTCAGGTTCTGAGGTGCAAACATATACAGAAACAAGTACATTGTATGAACAAATATACATGGCATACAAACGTAATATCACTCGATCTTGGTCAAGCATCATGAACATAGCAAAAATTAGTACGAGAAAAACTTAGAAATGATTATGCAATTTCAAAGTGTTTTACAAGCCGAAAGCTCGTAATAAAAATGTAAAGTACAGCTATGTCTCACGTTCCTAGACCATTTTCTTCACGCCTACATTTTCTGGAACACCCGTTGTCATGCCGGAGTTGAGAATTCTCGCACTTTTATATACGTTTATATATATATATATATATATATCGTGTTGATGGGATTGCTAAATTAATATTTGTGTAATGTCGCATATGATCATTAAACAAACTTTTTTGTTATAAATTGTTTGTCATGACTCATGAGAGCTTTTTTTCCTCTTTTTATATCTTTCCTAAACTCAGTTTTAATTTTAGAACATGTACAGAGAAAACACACAATGACGCTAGAATAAATTATTACATTATAATTTTTAATAATTTATTTTGTCCACAAAGCAGAAAGGTTGCCAATTACATGTTCTGACAAATGCCCAAATGAAACGTCGGGAAAAAAAACAATTGTATAATTATTTTTATCCGTAATTTACAGCGAATTATTAAAATAGCAAAATCCGAATTAATGATGTTGTACAGCAGTTTAGCGATTGTACACAAATACTTGAAACCATACAGCAGACATTTAACTGTCATATATAACATCTATCTGGCATATACATGATGTAGGTGTGTAGGTGCTTTTATGCATCAATATTTATAGGTTTTAATGAACATTAAAATCATGATGTCATTACACCTTTCGTTCATACAGTCACAAACAAAGTAAAATTTCGAAAGATGTGATTAATTAAAACATGATTTTTCGTTAACTTTACTTACAATGCATTAGAAATAAAGGAATATTGCACAAACTTTAACGACTTAAGTCAGGATAATATAAATATATACGTAACAATCAAAATGCCTTAAATACTTAGGTTTTAGCCAAATTCTGATACATGTGATAAATCAAAGTTTGGTGAATAACATTTTATCATATTACATCCAATAATTCGTTTTATGTACTTTTGTACTTATTATGCGAATAGGTCATTAAATATCTCTGAACTCGTTACTTGCATAAAAGCGAAATAATGTAGTGTGAAAGAAATAATAAGCACCTGTAAAAAATGATAATACTAATATATCCCAACTTTTGTCAAAATCAAACATGAAAATATCACAAATTAGTCTTTACTCGATCTTTACATACCTAAAACATATATCTGAAAATTTCCAGAAAATAACAAATGATATCTTAGCCTCACTTGAAGTCAATGTAAACACCACGTTCTCTTTGCGCAGTAGTTATACGTTGTAGGAACACGAATAATACATTTGCATAAGTAATATAAAAGATATATAAATTGCAGAATATTCGGCGGGTCACAGTCTTTGGAAACAATGACACACAACAGCAACAACAACAACAACAACATCAAACCCAAACAAATAAAAAATAACTGCATATCCTGCTGTCTATTCAATCAAAATTCTTTTTTCCAACAATAATCAGCAAGCCATGCAGAATAATCAAGCTTCGTTTTGATAATTTCAAACATTTTACTGACACAAAATTCACGCTTCATTGCTTACACAGAGTCACTTACGGGGTACTACACACAATTCGGAACAAAGTGGCGGACAAAAATGCATGAACCAATTGAAATACTCTTACGGTAAGACATTATAGGTACTCATTTATAATAATATACAGTGTATCTTGTAGAATTACACCATCTAAAACAGTCTTTGGTGGAAACAGTACCATTCTTAGTAGAATGAGCATAAGTAGTGGTAGTAGTTATAGTAAGATATACATTACATTATTTGATGCTATACTGTGTCTCTGTAGTATTAGTAGAAGTAGTATTATTACTAGTAGTAGTAGTATTGTAGTAGTAGTAGTAGTAGTAGCAGTAGTTGTAGTCGAAGTAGAAGGAGTAATAGTAGTAGTAGTAGTAGTAGTAGTAGTAGTAGAAGTATTATTATCAGTAGTAGCAGTAGTAGTGGTATAAGTAATAATCAAAGTAGTAAAAGCCGTAGTCATATTTGTCGTTGTCGTTGTCGTTGTCGTTGTCGTCGCTGTCGTCTTCATAGTAGTAGTGGTAGTACTATAGTAGTAATATTAGTAGTAGTAGTATTAATATTGCAAAAGTACTATCAAAAATTATGCATTTTCTATGTTAGGTGATTAAATTTAATGGCAATATGGCATAGTATTTTTAGAGTATTAATTCTCATCTTAGATTCTAGAATCTTGGTAGAACTCAGAGTTGGTTGCAAAAGGATTGAACCTTGGTACTTCTGCAATGAAAAAACAACAACATACACAAAGTGTTAAACCATGGCGTAGAGACCATGAGGCATGCCCTACCCCCTCCTCATAAATCGAATTGAGAAAGAAAGGGAAGAGAGAGATGGTAGAACAGAGACAACGCCCTTCGACAAACTAGGCTCACTCTCTCGCGATCTATTCACCTACTAGACACGACACCCCCCCCCCCCCACAAACATACAATGTCATCCCTTATTAATGAGGATAGAGGAATTAAATTCTATTTTGTCAAACCAATTTTGTAAAATAATACAACTTAGAACTATTAATAGAATACTCCTTTTTCTCTTGTTCCTATTCTTAGGGTAAAATCTTGTCATTTAGCGATCATCTCTCAATTTAAAAGAAATGAGCAACAAAAAAATTGCCCGAGTTGGGTATATAATTGACCTAATGCTGGTCAGATACTTAATTCGAGGTTGATGGTCAAGCTTTACCTTTCAATGACTGTTTATTGTGTCCAAGTGTCTTTCATATATTTTCAATTCTGTGTACAGTAAAACCTGTACATAAAGACCGCTCAAGGGAAACATGAAAAGTGGTCTTTATAGGCAGATGATCTTTAAGTAAAGGTTCATGTAGTACAGGATTCAATGAGAAACCATTTTCAAGGAGAAGAAAAAATATGGTCTTTACAGATAGGTGGTCTTTCTATACAGGTGGTCGCTAAAGCAGGTTTGACTGTATAATCTTACCGTGTTCCGGGTGAAAGGGTGTTGACTGTGACTGATGATGGCGGCCATTGGATTCCACCGTCGTGACCTGGTATTCTAAGGTCATTCGCTTCTGAAGCTGAGCCTGTTTGTTGCTACTGCTGAAGTTTTGACCTGAACGATGTAAGATGAAGAGACATTAATCCTAAAATAATCATGAGTTTATTTTATTTCCAAACTGGTAATGATTAGACTATACGCATCAATCAAAAACGCCGAGAGCCAAATCGTTTTTCCTCGTGAGTTTATCAATTTTAGCGGAGTTAATCATACATATTTGTTTGTTTTAAATCGAAAGAGAATGTGAATAAAAAAAGAAAACTTGAAAGTTTAGATAAATTGTTTATAACTTCATATCATGCATTTGAGACATGCCGAATGTGTTTAAATGTCACGAAAGAAGTGAACTCACTTTATCAGGGGCGGAGCCGACTCAGACAGGGGGGGGGGGGGGGGAGGAGAGAATTTTGGAATATTTCCCCCTCTATCTATTTAAGCCGGGAGCCACCCTGCTTCATCATATGCTACAAAACTGCGAGGTAATTGTATCACGTTACATAGAACTTGGAGTGTAACCAATGATTTTTTTTAAAGTCGCAAGGAATTTACCTGAACTGGACTTCGTCATTTCTTCCAACGTCAGACACTGGGGACAGAACACCTTTCTCCAACCCAGCCGCACCTCCTCCTTCAGCAGGCAATGAAACACAAAAATACTGAACCCTTGAAACGAATTAAAGATGGCGAAGAGATAGCTGAACACCAAGCTGGCCTCCCCTATCATGAAAATGCCCAGTCCCCAGGTGAGCCCGAGGAGCACGGTGATGGACAGGGACGCGCGTAGCTGCGCGGACACGTCGAATTGCTCGGAGGAGGCAGCGACGGATCGGCGTCGGAGGGAGCAGAGTTGGTTGGTAACGAGAGAGAAGATGATGAAGTTGAAGAGGATGACGGCGAGGGATGGTGCGACGAAGGATGCGTAGAATGGAATTCCGCCGACTTTCAGCCAGCAGCTGCATGAATGGAAGACAGATAGTGAAATAATGTTTAATTCGGGCAATTTAGGTCATCAGATTTCAGATGACGTTGTTATTTCAGTGAATCAACCTTATCACCCCTCAGACATGTTTCTTATGACGTAACAAGAAATTAAAAAATCATTACAAGCTCAGAAAATGTATATTCCAGGTATACATACATGTACACCCACAATTATTGTTTTATGCCAGCTTGAGTATGAACTTGTAACCTTATGAATTATTAAATCATATTTCTATTGCCGATCCCCATCTACAGATGTGATCGTTTTACAGTTTGTTTATGAATAATTTGTTCTTACTATTTACCGATCGGCTTACAATTTAAGTTACTAATGAAGTAAATTTGTCGATCGTTGTTTTAAGGGCGTTCAACAGTTAGAAAATATCTATACGTTTTCTCTGTTTTACGGGTGGTTCAAAGCAAACTACTCACAACTCATTGTAGAAGTCATAATGGTCCAGGTCGACGCCGAGGAGGATGCCGACGATGACGGCGGGCAGGCCCCAGCCGATCACGCACATCTTCTTCATCAGGTGCGAGGTGTAGCTGTCGAAGACCTTGACGAGTGCCAGGTACATGTGCCACGCCTCCAGGGCCATCCAGGCGATCGACGTCAGGAGGCCGTAGTGGAGCAGGGCCCCGAGGAGCTTGCAGGCGACTTCGCCGGGGTGACCGAACTCGGTGAGGACGGCGTCGGTGAGGAAACAGATGTTCATGAAGGTGAGAGCGACCACGAGGTTGAGGAGGACTCGGGTGCGACGGTCGCTTCGAAGTTGCCTGCGTGGAAAGTGGGATGTTTTTGAAAAATTGTAATCACGATCGCACCGACTCCTTGGAATCATATCAAGGGCAATTCCATAACTCTGAAGAGAGCGTCTTGTTCAAAAGAAGTCACGTTCGGATTACGTCCCTGTCATATTTGCACATTTTTAAAGACGAAGGACAAAGCTACTGGAATTGACGAAGATTGGTTACTCGAGAATCTTTGCCTCGTGTTTATTTGGGATATATATCTCTTAAATTTCTTGTAATAAACAAACATTTGTTTGAATTGGCATTTCTTTTAAAAGATTACTTTAATGATAACTTTTTTAAACAACACTTATCAAATTATCAAATAAAGTTATCAAATCTTTACATTGTATCATTGCCATAGATAAATTAAATGATGAATATTCTGATTATTGAACTCATAAAACTAATTAACAAGTAGGCCTATTAAAATAGAATAGTGGGTAAAAAGATATAATGCGTTCTGGACAAAAAGGCCAACGACTACCATAAGTTTATAGTTGTATACACTTTTCTAAATACCTGCAACACTTAACACAAGCAAGAGAAAATAAGGGGGTAACATTCTTCAGAGGGACAATTTTAAGCAAAGCAGAGTGGGATTGAATATTGGGATTTTTAGATATGGATACCATTTTTGTTTTCATATGTGAGAATTTAGGAAGAAACTGTTTCAGCATATATCTTAAAATGTTAGTTTGAAAACACACACAAGTGACGGTTAATGGACTATACAGACAGAAAACAAAAATGGCAAAAAACCAAGGGTATTGGATTAGAAAAATTAAAATCACGGTTGACAACAAAAACTCATATAAAGGTTCGAATAACATAGGATCGACGACGGACGGTTAACCTATCCGCAACGTCGAATCTTTATTGATTCCTAGCCCTTTTCAGGACTTCTCAATCAGCACGAAAGAATACAATCATCCCTTTTAAGGACTATCCACATGGTTTGGACCGCAAATTTACTCTTGTAGTTTACATAGGATCATTGTGGATATGATTTTATTTTATTTAATTTCTGCATTTTTCCAAATATATTAACTGAATAACACAGAACATATAAACATAGTACTATATACAAAATATACAACCAATGATAACTTTATTTATCTACATACATTATAATAAAGAAACTTCTATACTTCTGCCTCAAAAGAAATGAAAATTTGTTTATACCTTCTTTTTGTATGAGTTTGTGTGTGTTGTGTGAGTGTTTGTAGCGAATGGTGGATGTGCGCGTATAGCTTTGTGTTGTATGGTGGAGTGGAAACAATGTAGCCTTTTTAATAAAAGAAAACAAATAATACGAAATAGAATACGAAATATGCAGAAATGACTATATGACCAAAAATTTGACATATGCTTTCTTCGTTTTTATATTTTGAGTCTCTGCCACCAAACTAGGATACCAATGCGGCGCTCATAGAAAGATAAACGGTCAACAAATTCAGCCATACAGGAATGTTATTCCTAACAGGTTCTCGAAGAAACCACACACACCAGATTATGCGGGTATAATCCTACAGAAGGACATGAGATAGAACAAGCAGGTTGAAAACTCAAGAAGTAAGGCCATGAAAGTAGTCAACTTCTTGAAAAGAAACTTCTATCAATCCTCAACAACAAAAAAAACAAAAACAAAAAACGGGAGAAGCTTTATTCTATGCTGGTTTAACCTCATCTTAACTACGCGTCTTCAGCCTGGGATCCATATACGATCACCAACATCAGCAACGTTGAGAGAGTCCAGAATGCAGCAGCTAGATTCGTCAAAAACACTTATGCAAGAAATTCAAGTGTCACTGCTTTGAAGGACTCAATGGGCTGGATCCCCCTCCAGGAGGAAAGACAGAAGTCTCGTATTTCAATTTCAATTTCAATTTCATTTACTTCCACAGATTCATAAAAGACAATATAAATTACAATCAAATATAAAAGCATTACAACAAAAGATGAAACTGCAGAGGGGGTGATCAAAAACCACAAAGGTTTATCGGAGATCCAGGGGCGTAAATCCCGGGGGATGGGGGGGGGGGGGGGCTGCATCCCCCCCTGGCTTGAAGTAGGGGGGGGGATGGCCTGTACAATCATCCCCCCTGATATTGCAAAAAAAAGAGAGAAAAAAAAGGAAGAAGAAGAAGAAGAACAAGAAGAACAGGAAAAAAATGTGATTGTTTCAATTTTAGCATAATACATGAGAAATTAGTTATTTTTTTAATGTAAGTATAACTGTATAGCCTACACGGATATAGTATGTCACGATCATTAAGAGTAGTTGCGCGACGTGCGCGAACAAGCACTTCATAAACTTAAGAATAATTTTTCGTTATTTTGCAAGGTATTATTATAGCCCAGACGTAAATGGCGCCAGCGCGCGAGCGCTTAAAAAGTGCAATCATGTACAGTAGATGCCCGGCTCCCCCTACTTAGTATTATTTAGGGTACGCGTACGCTCGTTCCCGCCCTTTAAAAGCACCCCCCCCCCCCCACCCTATCTCAGGACTGCCAACATTTCTGAATCCCCCTTTCGCCGGCTTTTCGCTGGCTTTTCCTACCTTGGAGACCCCCCCCCCCACGCCCAAATCCGGAACACTGCTAAATGTACAACCCCCCCCCCCCCCCAATTTCAGGTGAGCTCTAGTCGATCGAGGGGGACTGGGGGCCAATGCTTTTACTTTTCAAAATGAAATAATCCTGAATGAGCTTTCAAAGCTAGCAGGAATTTCAGGAATTTGATCCCGGGATTTGATCAATTTTTCTATGATATTCAAGATATTTTATAACCTCCTTTTTACATTTCTCAGGAGTCCAAAGAGAGAGAGAAAAAACGCCACCCCCTTTTTAAAGAAATTAAGAGTCGAGAATGGTACAACGAATCGTCTTCTTTCTCTAATTATTTAATGAAACGTAATAGCTTTCGCGCTTCGCGCGGGAGGGAGGGGGGGGGGGAAGGAAAAAACTGAATTCAGATGAGGATTAAAAGTTGAGAACGGTACAACGAATCGTCTTCTTCTCTAATGATTTAATGAAACGTAAAAGCTTCCGCGCTTCGCGCAGGAGGGGGGGGGGCTGAATTCAGACGAGGATTAAAAGTCGAGAACGGTACAACGAATCGTCTTCTTTCTCCAATAATTTTATGAAACGTAAAAGCTTCCGCGCTTCGCGCGGGAGGGGGGGGGAAGGGAAAAACTGAATTCAGATGAGGATTAAAAGTCGAGAACGGTACAACGAATCGTCTTCTTTCTCTAATGATTAAATGAAACGTATAAGCTTCCGCGCTTCGCGCGGGAGGGGGGGGGGGGAAGGGAAAGACTGAATTCAGATGAGTATTAAAAGTCGAGAACGGTACAACAAATAATCTTCTTTCTCTAATGATTTAATGAAACGTAAAAGCCCAGCGCTTCACGCGGGAGGGGGGGGGGAGGGAAAAACTGAATTCAGATGAGGATTTAAAGTCAAGAACGGTACAACGAATCGTCTTCTTTCTCTAATTATTTAATGAAACGTAAAAGCTTAGGCGCTTCGCGCAGGAGGGGAGGCGGGAAGGGAAAAACTGAATTCAGATGAGTATTAAAAGTCGAGAACGGTACAACAAATAATTTTCTTTCTCTAATGATTTAATGAAACGTAAAAGCTTCCGCGCTTCACGCGGGAGGGGGGAGGGAAAAACTGAATTCAGATGAGGATTTAAAGTCAAGAACGGTACAACGAATCGTCTTCTTTCTCTAATTATTTAATGAAACGTAAAGCTTAGGCGCTTCGCGCGGGAGGGGAGGCGGGAACTGAATTCAGACGAGGATTAAGAGTCGAGAACGGAACAACGAATCCTCTTCTTTCTCTAATGATTTAATGAAACGTAAAAGCTTCCGCGCTTCGCGCGGGAGGTGGGGGGACTGAATTCAGACGAGGATTAAAAGTCGAGAACGGTACAACGAATCGTCTTCTTTCTCCAATGATTTTATGAAACGTAAAAGCTTCCGCGCTTCGCGCAGGATGGGGGAAGGGAAAAACTGAATTCAGATGAGGATTAAAAGTCGAGAACGGTACAACGAATCGTCTAATTTCTCTAATGATTTAATGAAACGTATAAGCTTCCGCGCTTCGCGCGGGAGGGGGGGGGGGGGGAAGGGAAAAACTGAATTCAGATGAGTATTAAAAGTCGAGAACGGAAAAACGAATCGTCTTTTTTCTCCAATGATTTTATGAAACGTAAAAGCTTCCGCGCTTCGCGCAGGAGGGGGAAAGGGAAAAACTGAATTCAGATGAGGATTAAAAGTCGAGAACGGTACAACGAATTGTCTTCTTTCCCTAATGATTTAATGAAACGTAAAAGCTTCCGCGCTTCGCGCGAGAGGGAAGGGGGGAACTGATTTCAGACGAGGATTATTTTCGAGAACGGTACAACGAATCGTCTTCTTTCTCTAATATTGTTTGTTGTTTGCTCGTTTGTGTGTGTGCGTGTGTGTGTGTGTGTGTGCGTTTGTGTGGTGTGTGTGTGTGTGCGTGTGCGTGTGGGTGTGTGTGTGTGTGTGTGTGTGTGTGTTGTGTGTTTGTGCGTGCGCGATCGCGCGCGCCTGCGTAAATTAGTGTGGGCGTGTGCTCGTGCTAGTATGTGATGGCTATCGCCGATTATCCCCCCACTCCTCGGTACGGATTTACGCCCCTGCGGAGATCATATTACCTGTTTGTACAAAATGATCCACGACTTGATGGACATCAACTACAATGATTACATCTCACCAAAGGGATAATGAACAAGACGGGGGCCATGACCAATAATTCTATATTAGAGCGCTTTCACAGAGACGACGGAAGCAAAGACGACGGGAGAATTCACTCAACCGACATCGTCATGTACTATAATGCTCACGTCTTTATTTTATAACCTGTATATAAACCAAGTCAGGACGGATGCACATGCATACTCATTCTTCCCAAGGACAGTAAAGTACTGGAACAGTCTTTCTCCCTTAATAGTAGCCCGACCTTTCTTGAATACTCTTAAATCCGCGCTTAAAACCAACTTAAAACCAGCACCTTGGTGGCCGCACATGACGACATACCTCTTTTCCAAATGTATTCTTGTTTTGTATTCACTGATTTTCTTTGTCTTTGCCGAATAAATAATAATAATAATAATAATAATAATAATAATAATAATAATAATAATAATAACACCTCCAGATTAAACACCTTTATGGTGTCTTTTGGAGGAATCCTTCCAGGTACCAAGTTCAGTAAATATTTCAATAAATATGGGTGGGACATGCAGGTCAAATATAAAGTTGGGAAGGACTATAATATTGTTGGTTCGAGGGAGTTCAAATGCAAGGCCCTGTTTCATAAAAATCGTTACCAATAACAAGCTACAATAACTGTTATAAGCTACTGAAATTGTGGCATTTGATTGGCTGACAGCAAATTTGTCATCGAAATATTAGCATTTGTTATTGATAAAAAGTTTTGTGTTAAACAGGGCCCGATGCGTTGATGGAAACAAGTTCTGAAAAATATGAAAAAACATACTAAAGACACAAAGGGGAAGGAAAAATTAAATCGTGATCAATATTATGAGGATTAATACAGATATTAGGTCAGGTTATATGTGAAAATGAACCTCCAATTCTACTTGGGATCACACTTCATGCATCATGCGTTATTAAATTGTTTGTGTTACCTCTTTCTGTTGACCGCCTTCTTAAATATCCTGAGACAAAAATTCAAAGTTATGGAGTCACAATTCTATCTAATGTCAGCTTCATTGATAATTGTGTAGTGGTTAATTTGAAAGGTCATAACGTACAAAAGATAATACCATATGTGTTTCATTGTCTAAACAACATCCCCCCAACGATAAAAAGAATATTTTACTTGTATTCATACCGAGTACATCCTGATTTAAGCTACTCTCTTTTTACATGTTATCTGTTATTTGTTAAATAAATAAATAAATCAGTCAAACACAAATTGGCAACACTGTAACGTGTATTACGAGCTCATCTCCAATATGCTCTGTACAGAAATTGTATAAACTTTCATTTTTGTACTTATTGATGATGGACTAGGTTTGTTTCTTACAAGGACTGTGCGTATACATATTTGTAATAATTATACTTAAAATTAAAATTTTAAAAAGTAGAGGCAAATGGGAGGGGAACTCGCGAGATACGTCACAGAGTTGCCAATTTGTGTTTGATTGATCGCACCTTCAAAAATTCATAACCTTCTTATTTTAATCGTTGTATTTTGTGCTCAATATTTCACGGACCTGTTTTTTGATTTTTTTTTTGTTCTGCTTGTATTAAATACAAATTGATATCAAAGGTGTTTCACAAAGATTTTAAGTCGAACTTAACTCTAAGTTGGAAATAAAAATTATGGAGAGCCATTTGTAGCCTTAAAATGAAATATATTAAAAAGCGAAAACTCAAGTATTTTAGACTTTTCATAAATTCCACATCAAGAACATGGTATCTCCTTGATAATAGAAAAAATGAACGATTTGAATCAATATTTTATGAATTTAAAAATAACTTTTCCAAAATATTTTCATAGATGCTAACGGCTTTCCATAATTGTTAAGTCCTACTTAGAGATGAGTTCAACTTAGGATCTTTGTGAAATACCCCCAGGTTGCACATCCCGTTTAATGATATTTACAAAACATTAATTAAAGGTACGTACCTGATCATGATGTAAGAGAAGAAGGTTACTACCAGACCAAGGATAGACAGTGTACATCCCGCGAAGGTGATGATGGAGAGCGCCATCATGTGGTCTCCGTTAAATGTGGTGGTGGTTCCGTAGATGTCCTGTAGAAAGATTGTGAAGAGAGAGAGAGTGGGGGAGAGGGGAGAGAATAGAGAGGGGAGAGAGAGAGAGAGATACAGAGAAAGAGAGAGATAGAGATAGAGGGGGGAAAGAGACACACAGTGAGATAGAGAGAGTGGCAGAAAGAGAGGGAAGGAGAGGGAGAGAGATAAATAAAGAGAGAGAGAGAGAGAGAGAGATAGAGAAAGGGAAAAGAGAGAGAGATAGAGAGAAAGAGGGAGAGATGTAGCATAATTATATAACCAATATAACGTGACAGCTTGAGTTTAAAAAAAATGAAAACTTCTGGCTCAGGATAAACTTTTCCTTTCTCACACTTAACAATTTAATATGTCAAATGCTCGGTCATTCTGAAACAATATTACAAGACGAATCGTCACTCACCATTAAAAGAGCAAAGTTAGTGAGATGGTCACATTCACATTGTGTGCTGCCCTCTGCTGTTACAGAAGCGATGCAACCCTCCGTAGACCACGTTCCTTTGCCATCTATGAAATAAAAAGTTTGAGATTTAAAGTGAATATTGACGAATGGTAGTTGAAATTCAGAAGAAAGTAATTATATCCAAAATAAATATAGATTTAATAAGCAAACAAACATTTAGTTGTTTCCCCTCTGTGTCATATAGCAATTGATAGTGCTATTCAACTGTCCAACATTTAAGAGACACAAGCATATATTTATTTGTTTATTGGTTACAGACAATGGGTAACGTTACATCATTACGTTAACTCAAATGATATTTTAATTTATTCCAAGGGTAATTTGTGAAGTTGATGAAGGATGTGGAATTAACAATGAAGCCCAGTTTTAGTTGGCTATCGCATTTTCAGAATGAATATTAGGTATAAAACCTTCCCGTGAACAATTCTTTGACATGATTTTGTAATTATCTTATCATAGTTATGAAAAAAGGAATCCTACAGTTTTTCGTCGCGCCTTAATATCAAAGAAAGGCATTTTTTCTGTCAAGGTTGTCATGACTAATAATGAATAACGGCTATTCATGTCCTCTTACCTGCCGCTGCAAAGTCCCAGAAAACACACGATGGATTATCTGCCCTCTGTGAACAAAAGGGTGAAATTTATGAAAGTCTAGTCTGTAAACACTTTTAACAAACTGATAATATTGTTCCCTGGCATTTTGCATTATTGCGGTTGCTTAAATTATCTCGGATTAAATTATTTCTATAATTTCAGTCGTATAAATGTGATATGTTGTTATAAAGTACAATAGAAACGGCTTTTTTTGATTAGCTGAAAAATGCATGTTATTTCTTTTGAAAACCTATCGTTGTTTTGCACGGTTCAGTGAGACAGAACGATCTCCAGGGAAAGAAATACAAATAAAATGCTACTTGGTCATGTTTTATAGAATCTATCTAAGAGCAAGATTACATTATCAAAAACCATGATTTTTGAAGAGTACGAATTTACAAATAGTAAATAAAAAAGAAAGAAAAAAAGTGAATGGCGTAAATATTCTAAAAAAGAATAAAACACTGATAATACCAAACAAAAAAACAGCAATAATTTACCATCAGTTCTTTTGCTCTCAATTTTACACCCCACATATTGGAATAGATGGTTGTAGTACTGCATTTTTTTAAGTTAAAGATTCTTGACACATTTGTACATTCTCGTAATTTTAAAGAATATCTTCAGACACACTTTGATTCAAATTTCCCTCACTTATTACCTCGGGTCTTTGGTGAATAAACGAAGTTTTGACAGGATCCCTTAATCCTGAAATTTTCAGATCACCCAGGCTTGCGGATATAACCAAACTGTTGAGGGCATCCCTTTCTATGACGTCATCACCAGTAGATATAGTAGGCGGGGTAGGGGCGGTGCCATTTTGTGTCGCTTCAGTAATCACCTGACATTAGATGAGGTCAAAGAGGAAGCCGTTAAATCATATATTCTGGTTATGTCCGAAGAAAATGTTGTTATTTCATGCTTTTGCTAAAAAACACAAAATATATGTAATTTATTTATTTATTTATTTATTCAGTTTTATTTCAGAAGGGTAGTTCCATTCAAGCCAAAAAAAAAATTAATGGCCTGCTTTACAAGGAGGCCCTACATTATACAGGTACATAAAATAACATAACATTAAATGAAATTATATTTCAGATCATCAGAGAGACGTGTAGAAATAGTTGTATATGTATCTTAAATGTACAATACAATCGAATGGGGCGGGAGGGAAGGGGGGAGGGGCTATAACGGAAATTTAATCAGAACGGTTTGGGACTTTAAAACGTTTAGAAATAATTGTGTAGTGAGTAGTGACACAGCTTATAAAAAAAAATGAAATCTGTGGATAATTTTGGATTTTACCCAATGATGATAAATAAGAAGAAAACTTATAACTATTTGTCTTTTTGCCTAAAATTGTGTACTTTATTTTACAAGCAGTTTAACATAGATAAAGGCACTTCCATAATTACTTACGAATGTAGACAGACCCTTTCAAGTACGATCATTTAAAGAATAATTAATAAACATTTCAATGCATTGAGACGAATACAAATTTTGACAGATTATTAAAAAAAATCCAAAACATTCTGAAAACGTAATTACAGATATATACAAACATAAAGTCAATGCCATGAAAAAATCATAACAAGATGCCAAAACTCAAAATAATACCTCGAAAAAGATGACATCTTTATAGATTACAAACTGGACTCTATCTATCTCGCCTCGATGAGTTTCAAAGAGCGAGCCTGGCAGCTCTAGTGACGCCGAGGCTTCAGCGGTAGACTCAGTGTTGGTATTGTTAAACGAGAGCTGGGGCTGCAAGAAAAGTCGGAAATGGTTGAATATTTTGAAACAGTTTTTGTTAAACTATGAAGACCTTATCTTATCCCCAAAGTAGAAAGCGAGACGGGTGTAACCATTGTGTTAGTGTTTTCTTCAGGCTCTTATAAAGACGAAATATGGTTTGGTAAATTTAAAAATCTCAAACATCGTTTATATATATGGATGAACTTCGAAGAAGTTGAACGCTGACAGATTGTTATTTATCTCGATAATAAATTTCCATGATTTCAATTAAAAGTTTATAAATCGTTGTGTTCTAATATCAACAGTATTCGATGAAATTCTTCATATGATATCAATTATGAAAGATTTAAACATAAATTATTACCCTGATATTAGTACCATCACAATAACATTTTTTGTTTATTTTCTTTGGTGGAAAAGGGTGAAAAATGAACACAAAACATTCAACTGAATGAATTGAACTTGTTGTGTATGGTGTATCTGTGGAACAACGCGGGTAATATTATGTGGTCAGCGGTTGCAAAATATATACGCTAACAATGTTTGAGAGTTAAATTTCTTATCTCACTATAAAGTTTACATTGCATTGTGATCAAAATTTTAAATATCAAACTTAGCAGGCATTACCTTTACAGATGAACTTTCAGGACAGAATTGCTCTAACAATATTTTCCATATTTTTACCTTTGAGGTACCGGTTTCATCGACCACGCTTCTGAAAGACAATCCATTGATCATTTCCGTGTTGATCTTGACGACGACCACGTCAATCCTCTCTGAAACGGCTTCAAACATGTCGCCCTCGAAATCGACGTGGAGAGCGAATTCGTCGATCAAATGGAGCACCCTGAAAAAGTCACAATCATTCTATCTGTAAGTATCAGCTAATAATAGCAGTTTTTGCTCTAAAAATAAAATGTCGTGATACGATAGACGTTCTATTATCTTTAAAAAGTGTTTTAAATGTCAGAAATATATTTGAATAAGCACTGTATTACATATGCGTATATGTACAGACAGTCAAGGTAACCTAGTTAAGAACTGATGAGGGGTGGGGTTGGGGGAGGGGGCGGTTACGTACATCCATGGAGGGAAAAAAGTTTAGTTTGAAAGTCAAAATATCTACAACTTTGTATCAGAAAGCATTTGTTCGTTTTAGTCCTCAGTCTATGTAATATAAGTTATTTAGAAACCACAGAACGAAGTTAACACTTCACTTAAGGACGACGCTGGGAGAAGCGCGTGGACTGTAAAAAAAAGTTGAGCAAATGTTACTTGGTAAATCGAATTTGGGCAAATTGTGTCCGATAATTGGGTTATTTTCTCCCAACCATTTACTATAATGAAGTTCCTAATGAAAGGTAAACAATATGTAGTTACCGATGAAATAATTGGGTAATGTTATTGGGCAAATTGAAGGTGGGCCAATTTTATCCAACATTTTGGTTATTTTCTCCCAACCATTTACTACATGTATAGTTACCCAATTAAATGTTCAAAATTAGTTGGGCAGATGTTACCGGGCAACAATTATGCAACAACAGGGTTCTTATATTAGAGGTATAGTGGTCGAGTGGATATGTCACAGGACTGTGGATCACAAGGTCCGCGGTTCGAGTCCCGCCGCGGTGCTAATGTTCTTTTATATATAATATATATATATATATATATATATATATAATATTTTATCCAACTTATTTGCCCAACTAGTGTCTAATATGCTACACAATTTTATTATGGTGAGAATTTGGTGAATTTCTGATCGGGAAAATTTGTGTTGGTTAAAAGTTGGGTATTTTCTTTTCATACAGCACTTGGTAAATCATGCAAAATCGTTAATTTACCCAACAATTGGTTAGACACATAATCGCCCTCATGTTGGGTAAAATTGGGCAATTGTTTACCCAATATTTTTTAGAGCATGTGCGCAGGAACTCCTCAGTCATTTAAGCTTTATATCCCGCTTGTCCGAGAGCCCTAGAGACCAGCATTAGGGACTTTTAGATTTTCACGCCGACATATTTTTTAGGCACTGCCGGGCACCGCCAGTGCCTTAAAAGGACGTCGCATTGCCTTAAAACCCCACTGTCCTACTTGTAGCTACTTGCTCCCTCTATATAGAAAACTTCCCCAATCGGTGCCTGTTGGTTCCCCATGATCTCTTACTTCTTGTGTTATTTGAGAGCTGAGTTGATGAGATAGCCACCTGTCAGTGACCTCGCTGTGTGGTCTAATCCCTCCTAGCCACACTAGTGTTGATAAGCTTTAAAAGGATGTCACACGTAGCAGTCCATTATGTCGACGTGCAAATCTAAAAGTCCCTATTAACAAAAGAAATTCTTAACTGATGGTCCACCAGAGCGACAGCCTAAGGGACCGACAGGGACACAAGCTTCAAGAGACCAATATTAACAAAAGGTCCACAAGACCGCGAATTCCCACTAGATCCGATCGAGAACGAAAAAAAAAATGCATGAGAAAATATAGAAATAAAGACCCTATAGTTTCAAAAGGTCCACGAGGCCCATGACATAAGACACCGACAGCCCGTTAGACTGACGAAACAAAGAAACACATAGTAAAAGATAGAACAAAATTCCTGTCTCGTGCGGGAAGTAGCCATTTATCGAGAAATGTTGACAAATTCGCTCAAGTAAATGCGAAAACTATCTCTTTTTTTATTTGTCCTATGAGGTGAATATTTTTCGAATGCAAGTAAAAAAAATTCAGTAATTTTGAAGGCAGATTACAGAAAAGATTCTGTGTATAGAAATTAAATTAGCACTGGCAGTCATGTTTTCCGATGATTGAATAATAATCATTGTGAATGATACATCTATTCTAATATAGGGAGTTTGAAACTAGTTTCAGTTTGTATGTATCCAATATGTTGACGTATCATGGGTAAATTGAAATACTTGTGCGATCAGAATTAGTGGGTATTACCCACTAACTTCTATTGATAGAAATTATGTCAATAAATATCACTGCTACTAGCCGAATTCGGCTCATTCTAAATAGTCAACCATGCATATCTTCGCATTTCATGTATTTTTGTACCACATTTCATTGAAGCCTAGATGAGGTCATGATGATGTACTATTTCATGATGATGTTCAATAAAACAACAATATTTTCTCACAAAAGGTTCCGTGTTCCATCGGTTAATGGATCAGGAACTGTGCGCAGATTATAAATGAATTATTTAGCTCTTACCTTTGTGTAATATACCATCGAACATAAGGTAAATTCTTCGGATAAAAAGCAGAGAGCTAATTAAAGTTTAAGAAATGTTCCTAGCGTTTTATAGTGGAACAATCTTATGCACTGATTTGTGAACCGATTTGACAATATACAATTCATATTGAATCAACAGATCGTTGATGTTATATTTGGATGGACTGGAGCACGTTGGTTTCTGTGTAGGAATTCAGACGAATAAAGAAGAGATACCACACTTGAACTGACAGGGCCACTGTCCGAGACGGATTATTTCATTACAACATTGGAATTGTGCTTGTAAATTACTCGCAAGAGCATTAGTAGGTTTCGAATAGGTTAAACCTGCAGGGTAACATATATCGTACAGGCTGTAGAGCGGATAACTTCATTGACGTAATAGTCTCTTCCAAGAACGATTTACAGAACGCAAAGGTGATTTTGACAAACAAGACATATGTTCTAGAACGAAGAAATATCTATAACATTTGCTTCACAATTGGGTCCACTTACATATCAAAACATGGCCTCAAATAGCCGTTTTAATGTAGCTCAGTATGTCGTTGGTCAAGGAGCACATATTGGCACGTGCGATGAAGTTGGTAATACACATCTTTTTGATGCATCACGTACTCCTCGTCCATTTCAGCACCTCATGGGTCACAGAGAACGGGTTAAGAGGGGTGATATTACGGCGTATAAACCACTTCAATGCGCATCAGCCGACGGTAATCTTGATTTAGTTCAGTACCTTGTTGGTCAAGGAGAACAGGTTGACTCGTGTGGTAAAGATGGTGTTAGCACACCTCTTAACTTGGCATCAGGTGAAGGTCATCTCAACGTAGTTCAGTACCTCATTGATAATGGAGCACAGGTTGAGGGGGTCAATAGTAAGGGTGAGAGACCACTTCATTTTGCATCATACTTTGGTCATCTTGATGTAGTTCAGTATCTCGTTGGTCAAGGAGCACAGGTTGAAAGGGACAAAAATGACGGTGACACCCCACTTCTTGTTGCATCAGCCAGTGGTCATCTTGATGTAGTTCAGTACCTCGTTAGTCAAGGAGCACAGGTTGAAAGGGACAAAAATGACGGTGACACCCCACTTCTTGTTGCATCAGCCAATGGTCATCTTGATGTAGTTCAGTATCTCGTTAGTCAAGGAGCACAGGTTGTGAGGGGCACTAATCCTGGTGAGACACCACTTCTTGTTGCATCAGGCAAAGGTCATCTTGGTGTAGTTCAGTATCTCGTTAGTCAAGGAGCACAGGTTGACTCGTGTGATACCGATGGTGTTAGCACACCTCTTAATTTGGCATCCAATAAAGGTCATTTTCACGTAGTTCAGTACCTCGTTGATCGTGGAGGACAGGATGAGAGGGTCAATAGCGAGGTTAATTATAGACCACTTCACATTGCATCATTCTTTGGTCGTCTTGCTGTAGTTCAGTATCTCGTTGATCAAGGAGCACAGGTTGACTCCTGTGATAAAGTAGGTAGAACACCTCTTTTCCTGGCATCACATGCAGGTCATCTTGACGTAGTTCAGTACCTCGTTAGTCAAGGAGCACAGGTTGAGATGGGCAATAATGCTGGTGACACCCCACTCCTTGTTGCATTACGCAATGGTCATCGTGATGTAGTTCAGTATCTCACGAGTGAACGAGAACAGAGGAAAGAAGCATCACCTGAAGGTATGGTTCGCATTTTAACAGTGCTCACTATTTCATGTCAAAAAGCGATGTATTTATAGGGACAGAAACGTGATAAGGCATGTTTTGTTGAGCAGTCTTTTAGAATGGATATATGCGCTTTATAAATTGACATTATTATTATTATTATTATTATTATTTGCTGGTTAAATCGCATGACGCTAAGACAAAATTAATGATTAATTGGCCAAATTGTTTATGGGAAAAATGTGGTTGGACGAAATGTTGTTCTACCATATGAAAATTGGACCAGCTGGTGATTTACACCTATTTTTCTGTGTACATAGAGCCTGCAAATGTTGCAGAGGCGCCTACCGTGATGGCATCAATGAGCTTGAACGTCTTTAGTAACGTTTTTTTATCAGGAAGGTACGAAGCCTAATTCATCGACTAAAATTAGTATAATAAATTACAGCAGACAGCTTACATACTGATTATAAAATAATGACAAGATATCTGAAGGTCGAAAAAAAAACAACTTTGAATGAATAGTTTTTGCAGTAAAGGCTTATTTGGTATGAATTTCACGTAAAACAACTCCTCCAACCATAAAAGCACAATCAATAGGGGATCGCCATAGCGTATTGAGAGAGATAGTCGTGAGCACTCGCTAAAGGGAAAGCCTACAAAGCTGACCCTCTTTGTATAGCTTGTTATTGACAAGACGAGCTCTGATAAGCTGTATGCAAATGAGTTCATACTGGGGTTCGGAGGTCAAGTGGGAAAAAAATTACGCTGCCGGGCGAGAACAATGGCGTGCTTAACCATTCAACGGGTCGCTGGCTCGGTGCGGGCCGGCTGGACGGGGAGTGTTATGGCGGCGTATTATACGCATCCAAAATTCGGGGATACTTATAAGCAAAATCTAACTATACGCATGTTTAATATCATAATTTTCTAAATTATTTGACTCCTCAAAATATCACAAATTTCAAATGAGGAAACAATTAAACATGTATTATAATCCCTGTAAAAAACATAGTTCATAGCCAGCCGCTGAATAAGCGGGGGGGGGGGGGGGGTTGACCGCTCGACATTTCGGTCCCTGGGGGGGGGGTAAGGTCACCTTTTTTAGGTCACCCATTACCATTTTTATTTTTTTTATTATTTAAAAAAAAAAAAGTTTTTTTTGTTTTCCACCAAAACACACACAGAAAAAAAATGAAGGAGGGGGGGGGGGTTAACCCCCTTTTCCCCCTCTGCGTACGCGCCTGCTACGGCCTCTGATAAAGATATGATTTACTAAGTTACCTTTATTTCCTATTTCATGCAGAGAAAGAGAACGACCTTAACAAGAATGTGTCTGAAGTACTCGGTAAAAGTCCTTTCGAAGAGTTTTGCAGATTCCATGGCTTCGACCTCAAAAGTGCTGAGAATCTCTTAAAATTGAACAACTTCAATTACACTGTAACCTCCAAGCAACTAATTACTGAGCTAGTGGAAAGCGGCAAAAGACCTTAAAAGACAAGTACAAGTCTATGGAGAAGTCAGGAACAATATTAAAATCTGAGTACAAAAAACGCTCAAAAATAAATTCAATAGTTGAATGCTTTATTTCATTCATTTATGAATTTACTTGACAAACTTGTAACATGTCATTGCAACTACTTTATACACTTCAACTCAATGGCAATTTTAATGGCCTAATGCATATCCTACAGAATTCATGTTCGGATTGCTTAATACGTCTTTTTAAAGTTCCTGTATTTCTAGAGGTGATAGACGAGTCTATTGAAATTGTCTGAAGTTGCCGTCTCCTGCGTTCACAGGTACTGATAATTATAAAATTACAATTGCACGTTTGTGTGTTTTCTTCATGCATGTGTTTAAAAATAATTTGTTGATGTCTAGAAATATATTCTTAAATGTAATTTTCAATTATTCTGCATTACGTTATTAAACGCAGATTTTTGTTAAAACAAACAAACAAACAAACAAGTTGATTTCTCAAAAGTAGTTGCGATCTTGCTTTGTCTAGCATTCATACATTATCTCATATTCGTGTGATACTTGATTGCCATTGTTATAAATATGTATCGTATAAATGTTAGCTGTATTTATGCGAATTCTGAATATGAGTTTGATTCATGTTCATACCTTCCTAACATGACACCTTTCGTGTTCAGAGTACATATTTGTATGGAAGTCAGACTATATCATGGTGTGAAAACAAAGGATTATTTTCATCAATTTAGTATCGTTCACAAAATATTTTAAGAGTAATTTTCTTGTGAATGAGTTGTACATAGACTATCCTGATTTGAGAGAGGGGTGATAATATTTAATCAGAATTTATACTTAAGTTTTAAAGGAGTGTTTTAAGTTTTCTTCGCTTTTGATTATCTGCATTGTATAAACACGCCTACTCAGCTTTGCGATAGATTTACAACTGTTAATAGGGGCCTACCTAACAACATTTACATGTACCGGTAGACATATTTGGAACCAAAAATGTATTTGTGATCAATACTGTGCCTTATAAACGTTTGTTATTGTGAAAGAATTGTACTTAGATCATGTAGACTGTTCTAAAGTTTTGTAGAAAGAAGATATGTTAGTTTTAGTCACATTATTATTTAGCATTAAAGGTTATTATTTTAGTTTTTAAGTTTTTTTCTTTACTTTTTCAATTCAGATATTTACATTGTATAAAGTTTATATAGGCCTATACTGTTTACAGATTAATTGTATGACAAATCTGGTGATGGTTTTATTCAGTATCCATAATTCATAACTTCATTATGTTATTTTGCTATACATATCTAATCAGAATTGCTATAGACTTCCACGCATCCGTATCTAACAAAAGAATGTATTTAAGTACAGTGTGAGTCACAAACATGAAAGCCATAACACGATCGCATATCTCATCGAAATATTCATCTCAAAAGCAATTTCAATACCCTACTGTATGTCAGCTTTATGTCATTGTCATGTTTGTAGCATTTTTCCTGATTCAATTCAATTTTGACTCTGCCCAAATTTCGAATGAAGTGGATGCTTAAACCAAGATTTGTTTGAATGGTCTTTATTCCAATTGAATGAACTCATATGATAATTATCACAGTAACTCGTCAACCTTATTATCACAAACTTGGGCAAAGTCCATTTTGACATGCCTTTAAAAACTGGCCAGTGCTCTGTCATCCATGATCAGATTTCGTCAATAAACAAGACATTTTTAACGACGTTACCTTATAATATATATTTCAGAAATTTCCTCTTTTTGCATTTTCATTTTTACTGCTTCATTCTGCATTTGGAAGTCAAAGTTTCATATGTCAAGAAAACGGAAGACCATGTTTATAAATTAAGTGTTATTCACAAAGTATTGTAACTTTTTTTCTCTTGGAACGAATTTGTAATAAGTATATTCTACGGCTTGCTATAATCTACGATTAGCTGTAACCTTATCGACTTTAAAGATTGAGCTGCATTCTTCCTAAAATAAAAATGTAATGAATATTAAAAACTGAAATCCATCGACTCATCTTTTCTTTTACCAGTTAAAATCAGCGATGGTCTTGTGTGGTTGATATTCGAGGGATTATAAAGCCATTTACAGATTTAGAGAAGAAACGTTGAGAGAGAATGAGTGTTTACCTATAGTTACGAGAGCAGTGAGACAGTTTCCGTAACAGTTGTCCTAAAGCGTATATGATTATTTACAAAATTTCATGGAAGTCAAGGTTCGATATGGTGTGAAAACGATGGAAAATATTCCGTTTTGAGTGGATTATTACATCACTGCTCCCTAACTGTGTCAATTCAATCAGAATAATTACCCCTTAAAAATATATCTATATAATATAGGTCTATATAATATATATAGTGTGTGCCCAACAAAAACGAAACCCAAAGTGAAACGGTTATTGTGATCAAAGTACGAGCTGTATAGAAATAGCTTTTTGTTTTTCATCAAGTAAAAGTAAGATTTTTAAAATGATACTGTGATTACATTAACGTCAGTACACGTTTCACTACCGGTAAGCAACATTTGAAAATAGGATGTCAAGATCCGTGTTGTGCCAGATTTTGGTAATAAAGAGTGAAAGTTGGTATGCGAACATGACAGATTTCGATTATGTGCCGATGTGAATGTTAAAGATGTTCATGCGTGGGTATTATAGTCTTTCGTAAAGGAGGCAACTTGGCAATCACTACATAAAACTGAACCAATGGGTATTACGCTCCCGTGTGTACAATAAAGGGACACTAGTGCGTACGTCCGTGTGCTGCCCTCTATATGAGCAACTTTAATTAAAGCCCCACTGCACAACTTATAGCTAATTGCGCCCTCTATAAAGCAAACAATGCCTAATTGGTGATCATTGGTCCCCCATGATCCTCTTTTTCTTATGTTAAGTGAGAGGTGATTTGATGAGATAACCACCTGTCAGTGACCTTGCTGTTAACTAGTACAGATGGGCCTTAAGCAATACCCATTTCCGGAATGACACGGGCATACACCCTTAGTTTTGCATAAAATCAATTACTAACCGTAGGTCTATGCTTAGAGCAGTGAAAATGTGTCACGTTTGTTTATTGAAAAGGGTGTCCATCCGAGAGGTAAACAAAACACATTCCAATAGTTTATGTTGTGCCTACATGTGCCCATTGGACTAAACATTTCCCCTTTATCAAAATATACGGTCCTCCTTACTTTGATTCTTGATGAAATTTTACCTTACTGTATGCCTTGCTCTTCTGAAAAAGTTTCATTTCTGAAAAATGCAGAAATCATTTTCATTTTTTTTCATGATCATGCCTGCATGTAATCATAAAATTTCCAGTGTTTTTCCCAAAACCTGGCTCAAATGGATTTTTACGTGCCATTTTCAATACAATGGTGCTCAGTGAAGCGTGTTATGGTTGGCTGTGACTCACTGGTGTCTTTCTAGTGTTTGAACATGACGATGAAGAGATTTGTCATCACCTGCTTTTCAACTCGTCCACAAAAGCTCTCCCAGGTTACAATCCAGGGTACGAGCCAGACAATTGGAATTATTTCATTCATTTTGGTTCTTCCTTAAACAACAAGTAGTGTCTGCATTGCTTACAAGAGTATTACTTCAGTGGAGCGGTAAAATCCCACATTTAGAATCTTTACAAAGAGAAAGCGAACTTGATCTCACGGTGAGGTAACAAAGGTTTGTAATTTTCATGTCGATCTGACATTTTGTCGTCATTAAAGTAATTGTAAGCGCAAGAGGGCGTCCTTATTGTATTGAAATACAACCTCATAGCAAAAAAGGCAGAAAATTCAGAGAAGTAGACGGGTGAGAATTGGAACCAAATCGGACAAAAACTAACAAAGTTACAAATTTTGGATTTTGAAGTTTTGATAAGTATACGCTTGGAAACTACAAATTGGCTGAATAGGTAATGTCTCTGTGATGTAGTGCATGGAAGACAACTTTCTCATTTGCTCCAACACACATAATGACTGAAATATATATTTATCTTTCATAAAGTTTGACTCGGGATGGTCGTTTCCATTTTCTTATTATAATATACTATCTATAATATATTTAGAGTAGTGACCCCAAGGGAGACAAATACTAGGACAGAAACAGAAGTTAATGATATTTGTGTACATGACAAACGGGAGAGTTGTCCATGCTTACGTTTTGCCAGCGACTAGTATTTATTTATTTATTTATTTTCATTTTGGCACTTCTAATAAACTAGTTGAGAAGAACTGTTCTAAAATCACATCATAATTAATTACCTGTTAGCGATCTCCGCATCCCGTTGCCCGGCTACAAGCGTCTCCATCATTGCCCCTGCCAAGTTATTGATTGCATCTACTGCGTTCTCTACGACCGCCGCACTGTTGTACTCGGTGATAGATCGGGCAAGGTTTTCAAGTACGTCCACGGCGAGGTCGACATCGGTTTCGTTGAGTTCTGTCGGAGAACTCGTGATGGTTGTCAAGTTCTTCGAGACGGTTTGAGCATTATCTTGAGAAAAAAGAAAGAGACACAAAAAATCTTAATATGTGTAAAGGTCTGAATGAAATTGTAACCGTAAAATAATTAAACAAATAAACAGGAGAAATATTTCTTTAGCGTTGATCTGCCAATCCACAAAGGCATTTTGAACTCAACCCTTACCAAACGGTAGATTGACTGTATATTGGCATATCTACGTTGTGGCGCTTTTTAAAATGTAACAACCTGGAGAGCAATATCGAAACGGCTCAGAAATACAAGCGTAACCATTTCAACTTTATTTAGTATCCACGAAATTTCAGGGAAATCTATATTCTACTACGTCATCAACAAAATTGAGTCTGCTCATTAAGACAGGATACGGAAGACAATGATCAGAATTGCAACATCAAAAGCCTGTCTTTATCTTTGTTTTAAGTTTATAATATGATTGATAAGTCGAATAGGAGAGTAAACGGGAAAAAAGTTAGAATAGTTGCTATGGTTACTCACCTACTGTGATAGGAACTTCTGATAATCTCTGTAAGACCTGGCTGGATGTTGCGCAAGAACTCGTATTGCGGTCGTCCCATGTGACATCAGCACGTTTCATACGACTGAAACATAACAAATTCAAACGAAGATTAAACCCCCAAAATGCAACCAAATAGCAGGATGGGTCTCTCCGACATATTTCGACAGCGAAACTGATTGATTGATTTCGTTATTGCAAAAACAATTTGAGAGGTATGCTTGGATTTCTCTATTTTTAGTGTTTCATTTTATTTTTGCTTCCTTGGCGGAGATTTGTCAACTTAAAATAGGAGTAACTATTAGTTCATGACTAAAAGATCCTAAAATGACTCTTTAGCAAATACCGACAAGTTTTTTCTTATTGACCACCCCAATGAATCGGTATTCTCTCCCTAAATATTTCACCTACAAGGGTAGCTTCTGAAAAAGATCCTTCCCTACGGGAATACTCACCAGAATCTAGTGGCTGTAGCAGATTGCTGGTTGTTACTACCGTAAGGACACTCCACCTCAGCTGTCTCTGTCCCCGGTGTTCTTAGCCATGTGATCGCACCAAACTCGCCAGAGGTGGTCTCTTCAAGACAATGCGGCGTTGGTGCAGCGGTGGTCGAGGGTCGTCCAACGATTGTCGTGACGGTCGCAGACCCTGTCGTACTTTTATTCGGCTGTTGCGTTGACGAGTACGAGCTTGATGCCGGTGATGTCGTACCCGACGGAGAGCTTGGCGTTTGAGCTGTTGATGTGGAAGAGGTCGACGACACCTGAGTAGAACCTGCGGAACTTGATCCCGCAGTCCTCACCGATGTTGATGATAGCGTCGTCGGCTCCGACGATGGCGACAACGTAGAAGTCGACGGCGTCGTTGATGAAACACCCATCGATGTCGTAGAAGGTTTTGTTGATGGTGCAGTGCTAGGCACAGGCGTGGTTCTTGATCTGGAAGTAGTTTCTGGAGGATCTGTGTTCATGAGAGTAGAGCTATATGTCGGAGTAGACGTTGGCGAAGTGTATTGAAAGGTCGATCTCTCAGGGTTACTTGATGAAATACCCGTGACAGGTGTAGGTGTAGTGTTAGAAGGATCAGTGGTGGGATAAACAGAAACTGTTGAAACTATTGAAGATGGTATGGGTGCATCGGTAGATGGTGTTGCCGATGACATTCGTGTTGTGTAAGATATGGATGTTGTGTCAGAATACAATGTTGTAGATGTTTTTCCTAAAGTTGTTGATGGTGACGCTGTCGTTGATTGAACATGTGGTAGTGTTGTTGGGATGGTTGTCTCATGGCTTGTACCCGGTGTTGACTGTGTAGATTGTGTTGTCTGTGTTGTTGCCAAAGTTGATGTTGGCGTATTTAATGTTGATGTGAGCTTCGTAGAAGTCTCTGTGGTACCCGACCCTGATTTTGTTGTACCTAATGTTGTCCCTAATGTTGTCAGAGGTGATGTTGGTGTATTTTGTGACGTCTGTACTGTGTCTGATAATGCTGTCAATGTTGTGTCTAGTGTTTCATGTGATGTCGGCGATGAACTTGTGGCTGGCGTTGTTGTAATCTTTAAAGATGTTTGTGGTGTTTCCGATTCTGGAGTTGAATTAGGAAATGATGTTGCTGCAATTGACTGAAATGTGGTTGATAATGATGTATCCAATACTGGAGTTGTAATTAATAATGTCGTTATTGCACTTGTTGATGTCGTTGTTGCGGGTGGTAACGGAGTTGTTCTTACGGGGGTATTTGCTTGAGATGGTAATGGAGTTGTACTTGTAAATGTATCTGTATCAGTTGACATTTGAGTTGATGATTGCATTGTTAATATTGTTGTAGCTTCCTTAGATAATACAGTTTGTGTTGATATCGGTGTTGATGATTGCATTGTTTGTATTGTTGTAGCTTCCTTAGATGATACAGTTTGTGTAGATATCGGTGTTGATGATTGCATTGTTGATATTGTTGTAGCTTCCTTAGATGATACAGTTTGTGTTGATATCGGTGTTGATGATTGCATTGTTGGTATTGTTGTAGCTCCCTTAGATGATACAGTTTGTGTTGATATCGGTGTTGATGATTCCATTGTTGGTATTGTTGTAGCTTCCTTAGATACAGTTTGTGTTGATATCGGTGTTGATGACTCCATTGTTAATAGTGTTGTAGCTTCCTTAAATGATACAGTTTGGGTTGATATCGGTGTTGATGATTGCATTGTTGGTATTGTTGTAGCTTCCTTAGATGATACAGTTTGTGTTGATATCGGTGTTGATGATTCCATTGTTGGTATTGTTGTAGCTTCCTTAGATAATACAGTTTGAGTTGATATCGGTGTTGTAACTGACCCTGAGGTCATCTCAACCGATTCAAATGTTGACATTGGTGACGTTGCTGTAGTTGTAACCGTTTCTAATGATGATGTCAAAAATGGTGATGTTGATGGTGGTAACGATGGTAACGAAGTGGTGGATATTGGCGGGGTTTGTGTTGCGGAATATGTTAAAGATGTTGGTGTAGACATCTCTGATGTATATTGGGTTGTTGAATCGGTTGTTTCCTCTTGTGCAGTTGACAATAAGGTCGAAAAAGTTGTCGTTTTTGAGGTAGAAACATGCGTTTTTCCTATAGTTGACACTGATACGGGTGTCGTGCCAATCGACGGTGTTTGTGTTTGCTCTAATGTTGTTTTGACAGAATCCCCAGTGGTTGGGGATACTCGTGTTACCAAAGGTGTTAGCGTATTTGAAATAGGTGTTGATTGCAACAGCGGTGTTGTGCTAATTGACGATGTTTGTGTTTGCTCTGGTGTTGTTTTGACAGCATCCTCACTGGTTGGGGACACGGGTGTTACCAAAGGTGTAAGCGTATTTGAAATAGGTGTTATTGGAGAGGGTGTTGATTGCAACACCATTGTAGTTTTCCCGGACAGTGTTTGCGTTTGTGAGACGGGAGTCTCTTGTGAGGTTAATGTTGTTGCAATAGTTGGAGTATTTTTCGATGTCGCTACAGGCAATGTTGTTGTTTCACTAGCGGTTGTTTCTGACATTGTATTTGCCGGTGTTGTTGCGGTGGTTGTTTCCAGTGTTGCAGATGATTTTGTGATCATATCAACAGTGTCATTGAAAGTAGTGAACTCGTCTATATTAGTTGAGTGCATGCAAATTAGGGTGAACCAGAGGAAATGGTGTGGGGGAAATGAACGGTGAAGGAAAGTGAAACAAAGTGGAAACATGCATGAGTAAAATAAAGGCATGCAAATACTACAACTAAATATAAATCATAAACAGAAATCGTGCATAATATGAATAGGATGGCAGGGTATATCCGAATAAGAAATAGAAATTACCCGAAGATATATATAAAATGAGCAAGTGGTGATCGTGCAAAAAGGAATAACCCTCGTCATGCTACTACAAGTATGAATTGAAATCTAGGCTATCCCTATCACATAGATGAACTGAACATGCACATACACAAATTACAAATGGCATTCAAATTACTTTCAGTTGCTAAGACAATCATTACAATAATTGCTATTACGTTCATCGGGGGCAAGTGCCCATCCCTTCCGAACCAAACCAGAAGGCGAGAAAAGGGAGAAAAACAAATGGGGAGGGGGCTCAAAGAGGGGGACGAAAGGAAAAGGAGAAGACATCGTGAAAAACACCACCCTCTAACCAAATGGTCTCATTAGGTGATACGTACGTAGACGTATCACCTTTTGATTTCGTCAAGATTTTTATTATTTATTTATTTATTTATTATTATTCTTCCTCGAATTTGTTCGCAGGATATCTCAAGACTGAATAAAGCCATTATCATGAAACTTGCCATGATGATAGATCTTAGTCTAACTTAGAACTGCGTGACTTTTTAGAGAGTCAAATTGATCGTGACGTCATCCATGCGCCATTTTGTGAAAATCAACTTATGATCATATCTTCGTAACGGAAAGTTATTTCCTATTCATAATTATCATGATTAAGATCAATATCCGTCCGGTCAAGTTGAGGTCAATAAATGTGCGCAAATGCGCGCGTGCGCGTTCGTCCGCGCGTTTACGCGCGCGCAAAAATTTAAAATGCTCCGAATCATCCCAAATTTTTTTTGCATACGTTTCAGGCCATTTAAAGCATTTCGCAAAAAAATCGCGCACACGCGCATGCGTGCGCGTTTCCGCGCGTACTGGCATTTTGCAACGTAGAATCGCCGAATTTTCTCTGTCATCATATGTGGCACATTTTTCCAAGCATATTGATAATTTGTTCACCTTTTATTAACGCAATGAGCGTCCGTCAAAGTTGACAGCACGCGCGGATTTGCGTTATCTTTATCCACAATACATGGGCAAAAACATGCCTATATAAATTTCATTTTAACTCTTTAGAATAGATAGAAACTCCTAATATTTTTTCATATTTGGATAGATTATGAAATGGAGATATGATTTCATGTCTCATTTGACCCTCAATTAAGTCATAATGTCATCATAAAGGCCTCCAAACTCAAAATTTAAATTTGCATATTATGACGTTTGCATATTTTTGGGAAATTGATTGTATTTCTGTAAATATAGATTGTTTTTCTCTTTAATTTCGATATTTTCTAGCTGAGATAATTTTCTACAAATGCAGTGACCACACCTTTCCAGTTTGACAAAGGTATCATGGCGTATTTTTGCGATTAAAGGAGGCATGTCAGTTTTTCACATTTTGCGTGTATTGTCTATGGGACATGACTATTTCTCAAAACTGGATTCTACATTTCCCTCTTTCGCGAGCAATATCTCTGTTGTTTTATCTTTGTTTACGCTGAGCTTCGAGTATGTTGTAGCGGAGACAATGAGCTATCTCAAATGTGTCTTTCATTTTTTGATCAGATGCCGGGATCATGCTCATATTGCACTTGCAAAGTGGGATTTGAGAATCCCATTTTCCGTTTACGTGTAATCGCTATGTGAATTGTTTTGGTATATCGTTAACGCACTTGAATTCTATCCTCGAGGTCCCTGGTTCGAGTCTGGGCGTCTCCAACCACTTTTTTTCCTTTACTTTTTTTTTTCTTTTTGACCTTTCACTGTACCATCTCCTTTGATTATTAAAACACGTACATCTGCGAATAAACTATTTGCTTTATTATTACCCTATTTTCACTTAAACGATTACTCTTTGTGTCTAATCCCTATGGGAGATGACTTTTCCTCAAATCTGGATTCTACATTTCTGTCTTTTGCGAGCAATATCGCCGTTATTCCTGCTTGGATTTTGTTGATATTTGAGGATAATGTAGCTGAGACTATATGCTATCTAAATCACCCCTCATTTTTTCAATAAGATATCAGGATCACGCTCATGATCATGATCATCTTCATTATCATTTATCAATTACATTTTCATTTCTTTGAATAAGATAAAATCGTCAAAAGGTGTTCTTTATGATGTAAATTAGAGTCAAATGTGTAACTGGTTACTGCACAGGGTCAAAGGTCATATATTGTTTCAATCTATCTTCCCTAGATCCATGATGATCAAGGAGACACAATTTAATCTTGACATATAAATAGATCATAATGGGAGAAGCATATAAATGGGAGAAGCATTTTACAAAATAATATATCGTGTCATGCCTTATTCGTTATGTAAACCATTATCATACGTATCACCTAATTCGTCTAAGTGACGAATTAAAGTCTAGTTCTCTTATATTTCATCAACCTATATAGGATAACCGGTGCCCATGCACCCCCCCCCCCCCCCCCTCTCTCTCTCTCTCTCTCTCTCTTCTTCTTCTTCTCCATCAAAAGTGTCCCCTCAAAGGCTTACATCACGGCGCCGGCTACGCCACCATCATTAATTTTAATGAAAACAAAAGGAATTGGTAAATAAAGAGTTATACGTGTACATGTTAATTGCTGTTAAAAGACAGTAGTAAAACTAGGTGTGACCATTAAGACATTAAATGGGAGGAATCGATAGCTCGTAAAGAGATTAAGGAAGAAATAAAATATCATATTTTTATATATCAATCGTACTAAAAGCATAAAAACCCAGAGCGCTTACTTGTAGTTTCGGTAGTGGCGGATGCTGTGGTGGTCTCTGTCACAGTAGTTTTTAATGGAGTTGTAGTCTCAACTACCAGACTCGGATCGCGTGGGAATCCAGGAAGAGTGTAATCGTCTGGTGAATTAAAAAATAAAAATAATAATCAAAACACAGAGTTGGTCTGGTGTCGGCCTGGTTCGGTCTGTCGTCGGTCTATTGTCGGGTCTCGTTGGCCTAGAGTCGGCCTGGTTCGGTCTGTATTCGGTCTAGTGTCGGTTTGTTCGGTCTGTGGTCGGTCTAGTGCCGGTTCTCGTCGGTCTAGTGTCGACCTGGTTCGGTCTAGAGTCGGCCTGGTTCGGTCTTTTGTCGGTCTCTTGTCAGTCACGTTGGTGTGACTGAGGTCAAAGAAACTAGATGTTTGAAGGGATCTTTAGCATTTCCATCTTTTCAAAAGAAAGTAAATATCATTATGAAGTCGAACAAACTCTCTACACGCAACAATATAAGTAATTTTATTCCTTGGTAAGGCATGTCCAACTTATTTAGATACTAGAATCTTGCTTTTCATTTTACCTTTGTTTGACAAACGTGTGTATCCACTATTTTGTACATTTACTTATGATTATACTGTTTTATGAATATACTGTTTAATGCTTTGATAAAAATTGAATAAAGACTTTATTGAAAAAAAGAAGAGCAAGAAATTTAAACATCTATTCTCTAATTAATGTTTTTTTTAAATCCTACCTAGTACCCCGGATGCTGGTCTATTACAGAGATCACCGAGGCAACATGTTCTACAAACAGAATCTGATGTTCCCGCGTTGCACTGTCTGGCGTTGGATCTGACCTGGTTGAGGCAAGCCTGGATTTGCTTGCAACTTTTCTGAATGCTGTACACTCCGTTCGACACCCGAATTTCGTTGAAGCACGCCCCCTGGAAATAGACATGGAATGGAATATTACATAATAATGACACAACTACCCCCCCCCCCCCTCCCTAAAAAGGCTAGAATAAAATGAATAAACTATGCAACGATTTGAATCATTAGGAAAGTTATGGTTTAAATAATATTTGAAACATAAGGAAAAGAAAATATATTGAAACTGCATTCATGTCAGGTAATTAAAGTGATTGTAACTCTTATGACGTAGACCTCAATTATATGTCCTCATGTATAACGCGTATGAACTTGAAAGGATTGATTTTTTAGCATATGAACAAATATGAAAAAGCTACTGAAGCCTAAAATCATTTCGTTTTCAATGAATCAAAGTGTAAATTTGTAAAAGGCAATTCTGTCAGAATATGAAAGAAATATTTTTCTCGGAAACAAAAGAATTAATTGTGCTAAAGAAGTCGGGATTTATTTCGATTTGGGATGAGAAGCAATGAGGTTGTTCTGCAAACTAGTTTCTTTTTTTATATAGTTTTTATTTTAAAAGTTTTTGAAGAAGTCATTTACATATGTATGAGTTTCCGCTTTAAGTGTGTCTTCTTCTTATTTTAGCTATCAGCCATCAAGTACTGTGTACTCTGGATTTAGTTTTCACCAATGCTGACATTAAAATGATTTGTGAAATATAAAAGGCAACAAAATCAATGTCGTTGCTTACCTGTGTAGAGCTACACGTCTGAATCGCACTGGGCTGACTGTTACACTCCGCATCGCTCCCGCCATTACATAAAATGCAGACGCCTGAAACAAGAGATGAAAGTGAAATTAAATCAAGTATTCACCCTTTTTCGTAAATATTTTCATGAAATAATGACTGTAATTGACAGATAAGTTTCTTCTTCTTAAATTTCTATCTCAGAACGCTATGAATCGATAAAGATTGAAGAATAAAGTTTGATCCATAGTTTCTGAAAAGATATCAACTTTATCTATCAAGATTAAATCATATTGTCACAGTCATCTCGTGAAAAGAGGTAAGAAAACAATTATTCCAACTTTAAAGGCAACGGTGTATATCATGGGGGATGTTTCACAGAGACTAAGATCGACTTGAACTATGGCAGGCCGTTCATGCTACTGGTTGCTCTCACCATTCCTGGCATTGGTCTCTAAATGTAGATTACCGTATCGTTGTCACATATCTACAAAACTCAATTATTGAAGGGAAAAATATCATCTAAAGATCATTATTTCTAAGTTTTTTTCCATTTCATTTCACATCTAGTTCAAGACTTTTTAAGGGCATAAATCGCCTACCATAGTATAATTCTAAGTCTGAGATATAACTTAAGTTCAAAATGAAAGTAACTTTTGTTCTTCGACAATGAACAATCAAAAAATGTAAATTCAGTCGATTTGTGATGTCCCTCGAGAGATCAATGGTGAGAGCAACCAGTGGCATGAATTGCCTGCCATAGTTCACGTCCAACTTAAGTCGATCTTAGTCTTTGTGAAAAAACAATCCCCTGCTCTCTCATATAATGGCGTAAAAGGAGACGGAGTAACAAAACAAAAAAATATATGAAATAGATAACTAATCCTTTTAATATTTGAATTCATCTGAGTGTTACTTGACTGGCAGACCCCATCTATTGTAACGTCAACTCTCTGATAGGCTGATGTTCTTGAGAAGAGTACGTGGCCCATTTCATTTTGGATACCCCATAATAAACATAATTTGAATTAATATTTCTTGAAGGACAGAAGCCAGCTACTGCGATTTCATCTCTGTGACACAGCTGAGGAGTATAATAAGAGAGTAATCGAACTTTAGATTTATCCGAGTCTTCCTTGAAGGGCAGAATCCAGTTAAGGTGCTTATAATTCTCCAGTTCTGCTAAGTAGAGTAGCGTGCCACCCCAAGCCCCCTCCCCCGCCCCTATACCCTCAGGCTTCCCTTGTATAAATCACTAATACCTAAAATATTTGAATCAATCTTACAGAATCTATCCCTGGTCTATGATTTCATTTCTTGCCCTGATTTCATCTCTTTGAAGCGTGTCACCCCAAGCCCCCCCCCCCCCCCGGATACGCCACTAATATCTAAAATATTTAAATTAATCTTACTTGGAGAGCAGAATCCAGCCCCAGTGATTTCCTCTCTCTGGTACTCTAGGGGAGAGGAACAGGTCGCCCCCGTGATCTGGTGACCCACGTGACCAGTGTTCAATAACCAATTCCTGAACCAGGACAGATCGCAGTCGCAGACGAAAACATTCGATGTAAGATCCCTGATGAAGATTAAAAATACAATGACATAAAGAAAAAAAAGGTTGTATGTTTCATTTATGCTAACGTCCGCGAGACGTCATTTCAAAATTTGTATTTAATAATTTAATTTTTCGGGGAAGGGGTGTAGGGGGGTTCAGTCGTTTTGAATGAAACTCGGAAACATAGACTCGTGTTTATTTTCAACCATTTAAAATCGCATTTTTGTTATATATTGGAAGCTGCGTTGAAATTAATGATAACAATCATTCAACAGGCGTGTCGCAATTGAATAGGCATTGAAAGAAAACATTGATATTTTAACAACTAAAAGAAAAAATGTTGATGCCCTACAGAACAAGGTTTCATAGGTTCATTAATGTGAAGTTTAACGCACCGGCATTGTTTCAAACGAAATCAGCTGACACAAGAGTGGAACAAAACATACACCTGTTTATACCAAATAGCATTAATATGTCAAGCTGCAAAAGCCCACAAGTTTATTGAAATAAATTTCCACATACATGTACATTGTTTTATATGGCAAGTGACAGCCTTGTCAACAAAAATGTAATGCTAGGAGTCCACTGGGCCGCGCCAGTTGGCGCCAGTTTGCGCCAATGCAATTTACTGTGGCGCCTAGTGTCGCCAATAAGGTGCCCAGTGGCGTGTAGTGGCTCAAACTGCCTCCCAACTGGCTCGTGGTGGCCCGTAACGGCGCCAAATTTGAATGTGGCGGCAAGAAAATTTCAAAATGTTTGAAATTTTCGTCGCGCCACTTGCATCGAGAAATCAGCGCCAAGTGTCCGCCAAATGGCACCAAATGGCGCGAACATATCGCCCTTTGGCGCAAACAATCCGCCTATTGGAATCCACCGGAATGTAATGGCGCGCGCCAAGTTGCGCCAATGAGATTTAGCGCCACATGGCGCCACTTGGCGCCAAGGGGCACCTTGTTTGCGCCACTACGCGAGCCAAACGGCACCCGATTGGTGACTACTTCGCGCCAAATGCCACCTGGTTGCCCACCATTAGGCGCCACTTGCCGCCTATAAAAGCAGGGCGGCATCGCAGGACTTTATATGAGTATATCTTTATATAAATAGGTATATGAATAAGTATTTTTTTTTCAAAATCCAAGCACAGCGCGAGAGGCATAAATAGTCAATTTTGACTGAATTGCCTTAAAACCCAATCCAAAAAAAAAAAAAAAAAGGACTTTATCACAGTGATGGCGGCAGTTCTCCAAGCTCCAGGGATGAGGTTGTGCTGGGCATCATCCTGGTCCAACATGCGGACGTCCAGTGCCTGATAGCGCTTCCTGGTGAGGTTGTGCAGCATGACGGCAGCTTCAACGAGCAGGCGGACTGTATCTGGTTCCTGTCTCATCTGGCCAAGGAAGCACTGGGAACGCAGAACCAGAATGCCAAAGGCATTTTCAACCACACGCCTTACCCTGGACAGCCTGTAGTTGAAGATCTTCTGCTGTTGGTCCAAGTTACGACAGCCATAGGGCTTCATCATGTACGTCCTTATGGCGAAGGCATCGTCTCCCACGAAGAAGTACGGCAAAGGGTGCTCTTCATCATTATGGGGAAGAGGAGCTGGATCTGGGATGCCTAAAGTGCCAGCTTCAATGCACTCCTTCAGTTCACTGTTGTTGTAGATCTAGGCATCAGACTGATGGCCAACCCCACCCACATCGATCCACATGAACTTGTACTTTGAATCTACCAGAGCCATCAGGACAACCGAGATGAACTGCTTGTAGTTGAAGTAAAGGCTGTCTGATTTGTTGGGCTTCTGGAGATGGATGTGCTTTCCATCATAGGCTCCCAGACAGTGAAGAAGATTCCATCTGGCTTCAAAATCACCTGCAACCTCAAGCCAGCCTTCATTGGTTGTGGGGAGGGAGATGACTTCTGCAGCATACTCATCCACTATCGCTCTGGCTACCTCAGGGACAAACTTCTGGATGGTTTCCTTGTCCACTCGGAAGTTGTAAGACAGCTCGGCATAGGTGGCCCCAGTGGCGAGATGGCGCAGGAAGACGGACAACTTGAGACCAGGGGGAATGGCCTTCCTGAAGTGGGTGTCCTTCTTCTGCAAGTGGGGTGTAAGCCTGACCAACAGGTCATCAAACATCTCTGGGGACACCTTGGTGTAGTTCTTGAACTTCCTCCTGTCATTCTCACTCAGCTCTTCCATCAAAGTGTGGTACTGTCCATGTTCGGCCCTCAACTGGGTGGAGCATGGGTCTAAACCACCAGGTGTGCTTCCTTTTCTTCTTAGGAGGCTCTTCTTCTTCAGGATTGGCCAGCATAAGTTGATAGGCAGTGGCCACCTCAGAATCTCTCATCATCTTCTGATGGAGCAGCATCATCACTCCAACATTATCAAAAGCCTCAGACATATCAAAATTGTAAATATTTAGTAGAGATGTTGTTCATACAGCAGCTGAGGAGGGTCTGAACCAGGTAGCCAATGGCCGGTATTTATTTAGTCGGCAAGTAGCGCCAAGCGGCGGCAAGTTCAAACCAATTTGGCGACCTTTGGCACAAACTAATCACCAAGTGGCGCAAAGTAGCCGTCTATTGGCGCGAATGGCGCCAACAGGGTGAATTTTGGAATCAAATGGCCGTGTAATGGCGCAAACTGGCGCGAACTGGCGCAACATTTTGGAGCAAGCCGGGTGGCATTTGGCGCACGCCATATGGCACCCAGTTTATTCCACTTGGCGACACATGCCGAGCGGACATTAATTCGGCGCCACAGCGAGCCACTACGCGCCAATCACATAATCTTTGGCGCGAACTGGCACCAACTGGCGCCGGCCCAGTGGACTCCTAGCATACGTGAATGATATCATTACTTTGTGCCATTAGAATAAAAAGCTTTCATATATCCAAGACTTTCAGCAAGAAATACTCTTCAAACTTACGTTTAAAAGATTTTAAAGAATTCGTGTTTTTATGTGCTGTGGTATATTAGTATTACTTCATAAAATGCGTCCCTTGCATGTTAGTATTGATCTAAAAAAAAGGAGGTACAACCATAATCAAAGATTTAACATTGGGTTTAAAATTTATACATACACATCACGCTGACAATTATTTTAGAACTATAATCAAGGATACGCCAAAAAAAAGTTCATAAAAAGGCTACGTTTTTATGTCATACTTACAGTGTATCAAGTCGATCAAATATTTCAACTGCTGAACTGTCTATGGTGTTGATGTTGTTATTCGTCAGGGTTCTGAAATATGACAGGAAAATAAAGAAACAATAATAAATCTTCATGGTCTGCATTCTATAAAAATTTTAAAAAAGAGGAAAGGGGGGTGGGGTTATGAAAGGGTGTTTACATTTGGCACTTCAACGGCTTATTCCAGATTTCTGGTAAGGACCATTCTTGCATTGTACTCCATGAAAAAATAGGTGTCGTGGTCGAGTGGATATGTCACCCTACTGTTGATCACCAGGTCCGCGGTTCGAGTCCCGCCGTAGCACTAATGTCATTTGGCAAGACATTAATCTACATTTTACCACACTCGACCCAGGTGAGGTAACTGGGTACCTGGTAGGATTATTAGGAAATCACCATCTGTAAACGTCTTTAAGTCAAAACTGAAAACACTTCTTTTTAATTAACTGTACCGTAAATCTAAGCATATCAGGAGCTCTTGTAGCGCAGTAGAATATATACCTAATATTGGATAGTTTCTGCGCTTTATAAATGTACTATAATTATTATTATTATTAGGGTAATAATTTCCAAAGCTCTCTGGAAGCGCATAGGGACTTTATATATAATGCGATATGCGCTATACTAGAACTGAATAAAAGGTTATTATTATTCAAAGTGTGCTTCATACAGCTTTAACAACAAAAAAAAGAGAATCACTGGTGCTAGGAGCTTGGAAACCTTTCAGTGGTTCTAAATAAAAGTAATTTCCTTGGTGTACATGAAGAGGAAGTATTAAATCGACGTGAAGTCGGCATGCAGTATGTCTTTTTATTTGATTTGATTGGGACTACCACACTTTATATGGCTTATCGATAAAACGAATAGATAAACAATAGAAAACAGTCGTATTTTGTTAAAAGAAGCTAGGAAAAGGGATCTCTTGCATGCTTTATCACGGCTCAAGAGTCGCATATCCTATGATTTCAGTGGACACTTTTAAATCTTTAAAAAACCCGTAATATTCCAATTTGTCCTTGAAAAATATTCTATCATTCCTCAGACAATTCATAGTATTGTCTTTTAGTTTATTATTATTTTACCAGTTGTTTTTTATTCAATTTTGAAATTTAAAACCCCAAACACCTTTGTTTTACCCCTTTCTTTTTTCTCCTCCAAAATATAAATCTTATAGCTTGATAATTCTGGAAAACAATAACCTGTCAAGCCTCAGGAGGCTTTTAAAGATGGCCCTTTTATTCTTTATTCTTCTTATTTCAAATGAATTTATTTAATGTACCTTGTATTTACCCTTGAAATGCTTTGTATATATTTTAATGTTTTTGCGTGTTTTTTAAACTGAAGAACGAATATACAATGAACTTGAAATCTTAAGTGAATTCTTGCTCTCCCTCCACCCCCTCCCCGTAGCTGATACCTCCCCCCCCCCCCCTCCAATCAGCTCCCTCAAATGTACCCCTTTCTCATCTCCCCTCCCCTCTCCTACCTACACCTCGTTCCATGTCTTAACACGCTTGCGTCGTTAACTTCAAGCTCATGCCTCCATAGCAACGAACATAATCATGATGTATGGTTGTTTTGACATTTTAGGTAACAGCCCTGTAACAAAGAAATAAACTCTTGGATTCCTTGTCGTAAAGACGCTCGGGAAAATCGCCAATCTCGTCGTAAAGTAGGGGCAAAGCGTCTGAAGTGTGCCCTTTGTAATGGCGCACCAATTCCAACCCCCGTCTCGGTTACGAAATTCGATCTCTTTTAATGTTCAATGTTCAAGATAAAGTTTCAAGTTGAATGCGGGTCGTGTCATTACATTGTGAACGAAATTGTCTGGAGGCAATTCTGAACGAATGATTGGTTAGGTAGTAGGTAAGAATTTGGTGTAAACTGTAACGTTTTGGTATGATCAATATGAAAAAGAAATTGGTTCAGTCTTCCTGAAAATCGCAAGCATGTATTTGACGGGACTTATAAACACAAATGTTATGTGGCATGAAAGTCTGGGCCAAATTTCCAGCAATTTCTTGTCAGTTTGCGAATATGGTAGGGGAGGGGTCGTGGTATTTAAAGAGCAGTCCTATTGAGAGGACATTTCAACGACATTCTCCTAGTCATTCTGTTAAAAACTGACGTACAAAGAAGGAGAAAGCTCAAATATTACGTTTAAGCTTTACCAGAACTCTACTCTTCAAAGAAAGAAGAAATCCTGTACGAGGAGACGCGCTTGATAACAAGAATGACTGCAATGGCGTTGAGCGAAGTTACCCTAGAAAGAATCACGGCTTCGTATACCCCGGGAATCTCAAAACCTCACCAGAGTGACAGAGATGTGTATATTTTCGCATTTCAATTCGGCACATACCGTGTCTACCAGGCGATGAAACATATACGCGAGTCTTCTTTATATCCAGTCACACCAACGGGACTGAGATCGAGACCCTAAATGATCATCATATTTCCAAAAGGCCAACACATTCACAGTAAATAAAACAACGAATAATTCAGACACCGGAAAATGTCCAGTTCGTTTAATTAAGTGCTATGTGTTTTTCGGTGTGTTCATTTTGAAATCATAGCAGTATCCAACAATGACAGACAATCGGTCGGATATGTGTCGATTTAGAGTCGATAATATCTCAGTCACACTGTCAAACCGACACCGCTCCAACTCTACACCGACCGATTTTGGGCAATTTAGCGTAATCTAAGTTTCGAACGGTCTGGGGTCGGTTTCTTGTCGGTTCAAGCTCCCAAACCTATTCCAAACTGACCGACCCTTTGCTATAATACCTCAGTCAAGTCGATGAGACCCGACAACAGACCGACAACAAACCGAACCAGCCCGATAGCAGACCGACGAGACCCGACACCAGACCGACACTAGAGTTACATTGTCCTGTTACTCCCAAATTACTAACTTTCATTCGGTTATCAGTTATATTTTAGTCTGTCTGGGATTTTTTTGGATAACGTATTATTTTATTCGGTCTGTTGTTGTACTGGTGTCGGTCTCATTCGGTCTTTTGTCGGTCTTGTGCGGTCTCGTTCAGTCTGTTGTCGGTATGGTGTCGGCCTGGTTCGGCCTGATATCGGTCTGAGGTCGGTCTCGTTGTTGTGACTGACATATTATTTAGCAGTGTGACTGAGTTCTTAGGGAAAGGAACGCAGTTTGATTAAATCGGGGTTGAGGTATTTTTGTGTGGGACGGGTTTGGCGCTGCAGAAATAACGTCATAAATGTGTAGATCATCACTTTCTAATCCAAACTTGTGATAAACCTGTTCACTCTTCACAGAGGTTTGTATATACACCCCATAGTCTACACCTTAGAAGAATGGCAGCAATCATAACAAATCGTACAAGATTAAGCGTCCCAAAATTGAATACAAGCATAATAGACATATACCATGACGTGTCCCTCCCGAGCGTGTGTAAAAAGACGTGGTGTTCTAATTTATTAACAAGTTATCATTCATCAAATTAGTCGAAGAGAAAACAGTAAAATGAAAAATAAACAACAGTTGAATTTAATAATTTGCAACGAGGCACTTAACATAGATATATGTATTAAAAGTGAAAACATTACGAAAATGGCCTCTTAGTGGATATTTAGTGCACTAATTAGTGGAACCATTCGGAGATACTTACAATGTTTGAAGTCTCGTCAGGGGTAGAAGGTGGCTTATCATAGCCGAGGAGAGAGCAATCCGGTTGTTAGATAAATCTCTGAAAAAGATACAACAATCGATTAAAAACATATTAAAAGAACATGTTCTAAATATTCGTTTACTGTTTGAAGTACATTGTTGCGAAACTTATATTTTAAATCGAAACAATCCGTATATCATCTCTGTCCCTTCTCTTTCTATGTCCCTTTTTCCTCATTTCCAGGGGCCGTCTTAAGAATAAGCTTGAAGTAACGTCCCCTTTTTTCTGTATATATACTATGCCATTATCATACATCTAAAGTTATCAGATTGTAAATTGTGAACCCCAACTACTGACACCTTTAAACGCAGACTAAAGACCTACCTATTTAACACAAAGTAATTCCCCATCTTCATATCAAATTCATAACCACGTTTCCTATTTTCTTGTAATGTGTTCATTATCTAAAGTACATAACTCATGCAGTTTCATTGTTACTTATTGTATTTTAATTTTTCATTATCATGTTACTGTTAATACACTGTTAGTTAAGTAAGAGCTTTTGTTTCGTCTAGATTAAGCACAATGTTCATCTCACATTTCTTGTTGATGTTTATTACATATTTAGATTAAACGTAATTTTCACTTGTTTTGTAAAGTGCTTAGAAACTGTATGTGTATACCAGCGCTATATAAATCTTAGATTTTTTTTAAATAATAATTATTATTACAAATAAACATCAAATCAAATTAAACCAAATCAAATTTTGTCTGAAACAAGATGATAGGAAAACCAACGCTTCCAATAAGCAGGGTCAAAGTTAAATGTTAAATTAAACCCAAATACGCTTTATTCCTGTCACATATATCCATATGTTCTCCTGCTCAGTGCTTCGTTTATCTCAACTAATTCCTTTCATTCCATCAATCAAACCTGATCAATTGGTATTTCTGTTCTGTAAGAAGTTAAGGATTTTAAACTAATAGTAGGTGTGAAATAATTCAATCTGATTTTTTTTCGATCTCCCTAATCTCGGCTGTTTTTTTTTATTAAATAATAATAATATGATTATGAACGATCCAATTGGATTCTTCCATCATGTCTATCATTAATTTTCTGTCGCTGATTTTGAATGTGCCATCTCTTGATTAATGTAAGAAGCTGACATGATGATAGGCCTTTCAATACCCCGTACACATGTACATATTTCCGTCAACATGCTAATGTGTTTTCGAGCACATTTAATCCTCTATTTTCCATCAACGTGCTTCATGTTTTCAAACATATTTTAATCCCATTTTCCCCTCTGTCATCACCCAATGATAACCTTACAATCCCCCGGACGAGGACAGTCCAATTTCAAAGAATGAAAATCGCGATAGACCATGTTCCCGCACATATTTAATCGATTTGTTCTTTATTAAATACCAATTATTTCCCCGATTGTAATGTCCCTGATTCTTTCACACGAGCTATGTCATGTTTCTTGGGTATAAATTAAAGTCCATGATGTACGTGACGGTGAAATTAAAGGCGAGATTTATAACCCACGTCGGATGGTGATAGTTTTCCTTCAAGGCTGGCTAATTTATTCAACCACAGATATTTTCTTTTAGAGCTATCACCGGCGAGATGGAAAGAGGGCCAACCGAGAAAAAGAGCTTAAATATATATATCATTTTATTTTAATATAAAACAATTTTTAAAATTAAAACAGAAGAGGGAGGGTAATTTATTACCTAAAACGAGAGGCTTCTGACTTTGTGCTTCAATTTTACAAACCTGTGGGTCTTTCAAAAGTGTTGGTAAACACCGTTTGAACGGCAAATGTGTTATTACCACCATAGTTATTTAGTTGCTGCTAATTTGATAACCTCAGACAAGTTGTAATGGCTCGATTTATTGCTTTGTCGAGTGTAACGTAATACCTCTCCCCCCCCCCCCCCCCTTTCCCTCTTTAAATCTCCCCTTATTTTTAATAACTATTCGGGAAAATATCCAATGTTTAGGTAAGTCTGCACTTTTCTTGAAATTGTACAAAAGAATGTTTAGACAGAACCAGTGGAAGGAAATTCCGAGGCGGAAATGAGACGAACCCGTCTTCAAGGTTTATAGTTTCAAAAACTTTCAATAGTATCTATATATAGCATATTGCAGGAAATACAAGCCTCAAAACATGTTAAATAAACATTGATCTCACAGTGCATCATCACTTTTGAGAAAATTACTGGTATGGACTAATTCAAGCCAAATTTAAAACCATTCAAATACTGACAGCTGCCATAAGATAGCTGTTAAACGAGCTGGCATTAAAACATTCACTTTGCTTGAGCTCTGTGCAAGATAATGCCTGCACTATTATGTAGGCGGGTTCAGTTTATGATACCGGATATAATGTAACATGAAAGGAACATATTTATGTGAGCTAAATTCGTTATTTACAAAATTCAAGTAGGAAACAAGGTTAATTCATATGCCAATACTGAACAGAGAAAGCGCCTACGCGCATTTTAATACTTTCAATGCTTTTTTGTGTGTGTTTGTTTGCTTCTTTTATTTCTTTATGGCTTTGACGACGTCTTGAAGCAATACCAGGTTGATTAATAACAAGCAGCCGAACTGCCCCAAGCTTTAAGATCAATGATAAAATATTTCTTATTCATGTGGGGGAAACGTTAGCATTTTTCTGCTCCGAAGGCCGCAAACAACCGAAAATATATATTGTTACTAAACATGTTTAGGGTCGAAGCCTTGTGGCCCCCAAACCCCAAAAGAACCCCAGCAATGTTGTGTTGCTCAAAGCGACTAGGGTCGATTGTAACGAAAATCGTGTATATATCTGCTATTTATTTTGTAACTCTACTAGGCAGTGTCCTTTCAGCAAAGTTTTTAAACATTCATGCACATTGGGCGTTCAAACCTTACGCACATAATATATGGCACAACACTTACGAAAATCTTATATAGCAATCTACACAAGTGAATTCGCTAACTGTCATAGGAGTGTCTATATTTTAACGATTAAATCCTTTAATTTATTATATTTTCAACGTAGGAAAAAATAGAGATAAATATAGGTATCCGTTTGTATACTGCTTAGAAAGATTATAGGGAAACCCGGTTCCCTCTGCTTTCTATTTACCTTTTAGTGTCCAGTTTTGAGAGTCTGTTGATCAAGAGTCTTTGAATTACACGAAGTGGCTCGCACCCATCATGACCCTTATTCCTTGTGTACTCTCTTTTCTTTTATTCTGACGGGTCCACCCGCTTTCCCCACTTCCAGATAAATCATTGCTTCGTCATTTCCTCTTGTCATTCCAGTTGTAGCCCCATCCCCCCTCTGACACCTCTCCCACTACCAGAGAAATCCCGGTTACACCCTTCCCCCATCAGGTGTACCCCTTCCGTCTCACTAACGCCCCTCCCGCCATCATGGCAATCATTTCTATAAGCTTCCACCGGGTGTACCCCTCCGCATCTCTGACGGGTCCGCCCTTCCCTCTCTACCAGATAGGGTCTGGCTACGCCCTTTCCTCGGGATTTACCCATCCATCCTTCTCTCTGACACCATTGCCCTCTACCAGATAAACCATGGTGACACCCACTCATCATTAGGTGTACCCCACCAGATCCGCTCTGGTTACGCCCTTTTCTGCAGGTGCACCCCTCCATCTCTCTCTCTCTTTCTCTCTGACTCTCCATCTCTCTCTCTCTCTCTCTCCATCTCTCTCTCTCTCTCTCTCTGACTCTCCATCTCTCTCTCTCTCTCTCTCTCCATCTCTCTCTCTCTCTCTCTCTGACTCTTCATCTCTCTCTCCAATCTCTCTCTGACGCGACATTTACCGCATCATTAGGTGTGAAGTTCACGACCTCGATCAAGGCAATCTCGACCGGGATTACTACTGACGACAGACTCACTACAAAATAGCACTTTCATTCGGATACGATGTTCTCTACCCTATTTCCCAACCCCCCTCTCTCTCTCCGACCCCCTTTCACTTTGTTTCTTTCTCTCTCCCTCTCTCCCTCTCTTCCCCTCTCCCTCCATTTCTCTCTCTCTCTCTCTCTTTCTCCCACCCTCTCTGTATCTCTCTCTGCCCACCCCTTCTCTCTCTCTCTCTCTCTCTCTTTCTCTCTCTCTTTCTCTTTCCCTCCCTCCCTCTCTTTCTTTCACTTTTTTCTGTCTATGTCTATGTCGTTCGTACCACTTTCTATTCGTATACCTCAATATACAACCCTTTTCTCTCTCTCTTTCTCTCTCTCTCTCTCTCTCACTCTCTTTCTCTCCCCCTCTCTCTCTCTCTCTCTCTCTCTCTCTTTCTCTCTCTTCCTTCATCTCTGCCTTTCTCTTCTTTACTATATTCTATATTGTCTTGGCATCTCCTTTAGTCTCCCTCGTCTCTTTCCCCATCTTCTCCCACCCCACACCCCCTCTCTCTCTCTCTCTCTCTCTCTGCCTTTCTCTTCTTTACTCTCCACATCATTCCAATATTTTGTAGGAAAGTGAAAGTAGGGCAGCTCCTTCTCCACTGGGAGCAGAGAATAAACCTCTAATCGTGATAGAATGGCTTTACAAAGAGTTGAATTCCGCAGCCACCTGCCTCCGAAACCAAAAAATCGTTTCCAGAAAGTTCCCCTTTTCTTCCTGTCTACAACGAATCCTCTTCTTATGTATCATTAACCAACGAACCAACTTTTAAAAAAAAAATCAAAACCAAACAAGTTTTTCGTATCATATAGCTTTCTTAAAATAAGCAGTCTATGTCGGCACATGCAATACAATGTTTATTTCTAATCCACTAATCGAGATGATAACTCAAATCGAGATGTTTAAATGATACTGTAACCGAAACAATGACTAACAGTGACTGACTGATATTATTTCAAGAGGAGTACTTACAATGACTTGAGATTGGGCAGATTAGCAAACGCACCATCTTCGATTGAATCACTCCTCAGGCCATTATTCTGGATTTGTCTAAAATTATCAAAGACAAAAGGAACAAGAATTAGAAATAGTTTCACTTTACATTGAAGACTATAAGGTAAAGTAAGGCTGATTCCTTTAGTATCGTTAGCTTGCTCCCATGGCCAAGACGTTGGCGTTTTAAGCCAGGTTCGAGTCCCGATGGAGTTTGTTTTGCTACGTTGAGATAGTTTTGTTTTCCTCGAATGATCCAACGGTAGGGCGGGTGAAGAGCATTACGAAATGACGCTTCATTTTTCACTCCTTAAAGGGATCTGGTAACTTTGTCTTAGATCCTTAAGAAATAATCCTTGATTTAGCTCATGCTGCAATGATAATTATAAAACTTTAGGTCAGTCAGGAACTCCATGACTTTTACGAGCCGATCGCCTGTCTGATTATCAAGATATTAATGATTGGAATTACAAATTTTGAAAACCGTTCGCCGAACGGTTTTCATAACACTACAGTCTATTGGGAAAAACGAGTATGGTAAAACCGGTCAACTCAAAGATTTTTACTTTTTTGAGGCTTTTCTTGTTCATTTTGAAGCGCGATTTTTTTTTTTTTAGGGCTTCAATATTACACCATATAACAGACACTGGTAACATGTAGGACCGTGTATCTCAGTTTTAACATTGCTAAATGATCCCTTTAAATTAACTGATCATAATTCGTCTGTTGAGAGCCAGAACGGTGTTAATGAGTTAACCCCCTTCTCGCTCTCTAAGTTCCTTCCAGAATTTCCTTTTCTCAGTTATCATATAAAAATGGTTATCAGAGCAAATTAACAATGTATTGGTTAGGCCTTAGATCATTCAAAATGTTAAGCTTTGAAAAACATCATCATTGCAATAATGCTTCTGACTACAAAAATGAAAACGTTGGTATTATAATTCAGAACCGTGGTAATAGTATTATAACTAAATTCTGTTATGACATTTAAATGCTAACGTTATTGGAGGAGCTCGCGCCTTTGAATGTTTTTTGAAACAGATATATGGCGCCATACAAATGCTTTGAATCATCATCATCATCATATAAATTAAAACAATATGGCGCTTAAAATTAAACAAAATAATACGCTTATGGGCTAGTATGAATACTCACAATATTTCTAGTGACGATAAACCTTCTAATGAAATGGGTGAGAGCGCTGTTATTGAGTTTTCATTGAGAGATCTGGATGGAAAGACACGAAGAAGAAAAAAACACACACAGATATTATGAAAAAGTTATAGCGATATTTATCGTTTTAATAATAATAATAATTATAGTGCTTATATAGCGCCTAACACTTACTTTGTCAGAAGTCTCTAAGCGCTCTACAATAATGCAGCATAATTACCCTGGCTTTAGCAGTGCAGCTGTTACGCGCGCTGCGTTTCAAGGAATAAATTCCTACCAGGTACCCATTTACTTCACCTGGGTGGAGTGTGGCAAATGTAGATCAATGTCTTGCCAAAGGACATTAGTGCAGCGGCGGGACTCGAACCGCGGACCTTGTGATCGACAGTCCGGCGACGTATCCACTCGACCACAACACAATCTATTCGTTGCCTCAAATGTGTTTTCATAATGCTCAAACATATGAAATTAATGTTTCTATATTCATAACTCGACAACTAGCAACATCTGCGTTCTTTTTTTATATTGTTGAACAGCAACGTAATTTTGACGGCTTGGATGGGGATGTTTAATGAACCGAACTTCTAACAGTCTTGGACAGATCAAATATAACTTACTTGTAATATTAATATTTCATTTCACTCTTAAAGGCCCACTGCACTACTTGCAGCTACTTGCGCCCTCTATATGACAAACATTGCCTAATCGGTGCCTGTTGGTCCCCCATGATCCTCTTATTCTTATGTTAACTGAGAGCTGAGTTGATGAGATAACCACCTGTCGAGTGACCTTGCAGGGCAGTCTAATCCCTCCTATAAACTACGGCAGATAAGCTTTAAATAATATGTGAAATCAGTGTGGTTTCGACAGAACTGGTGGAATAAGAAAATCTTTATTTCAACGAGATCTGATTTTCCGTTTCTATAACTTTGGTGTTCACCTATATAATAGGTCTACCGAAAGAGAGCATGCGCCAATCTTTACCAGCTTCTGTTTCGTTGCATGTGTGATTTAGTTTTATGGTCAATTGCTGACAATTCTTTTTAATGATCATATAGAAACTGTTTGGTGGCAAATTAATACATTACAATACACTATCCCGTCATTCCTGAATGAATAAAGGTATTGCAAACATTGGATAAACTTACAAATATACAGTTTCTGCAGGCAGCCCAGTCGGTACCCCGGCCAGAAATTTTTTCGAACAGTCTACGATCCAACCCATGGGGTTCTGAGACTCGAAGCAGTTACAAACATCATTTCCTGTAGGAGTTGTGCCATCTTGAGCAAAGGAGCACGCTGACTGGGCCAGGACCGTCGGTAGAATTAGGACCAAGTCCAGAATAAGTCCAAGACCTAGGAGTCGGACGATTGTTGGTTGCATGTTTGTTCTTGTTGGTGTTGAATGGTGTTGTCAAACGCGTGCACACTGAGGAAAGACTATGAAGTCTTGAAAGCATGCGTGGTATCTTTTTGAGCAAAAAGTTCTCACTTGAGGGTTCACAATTAACCTCTCTGGACTACGTCTAAAACCACTACTGCAGTCTTCTCCTTTCAAACTCGCTCGGCAATGTTGAATATATCCTCTTCCGATGCTGTCGAGTGTCTAATATTGCACGAATGTTATGATCGTGAGAGCAAAGAAACCTCACAAACTCTCTAAACCTATTTTAATCCCTGATTCCACAGATAACATTGTGTTTCCGTCTGTTCTTCCTCCAATATAAACTCTCTCAATGATTCAAATGAACTTTAAACCTTTCCAATCGTGAACAAATCGGAAGTTGTTCGAACGCGAAACCAACACTGGCTATATAGATCGACGGTGTACAACCTTGTCAAGATTAGCTAACTTTTCCACTTTCGGATACAGGTAGATCTGTTCCAAAGTTCAGGTGTCCTTTATTTACTTTCCGAGTTGATATAGTTTAACCTCAGAAATAGATCTCCTCTTATTCCAGGCCTGAATCCGTGTCCAGCAAATACAGATGACATGTAAATATTAGCTTCTTCAGTTGTCTGAGTGCGACTGCTGATGAAAAAGCAGTTCTGAAGTATATAGCCAATACTTGAAGATGTAACCCAACTGTTGAAACGTCAACGGACGACCACTGCTAGGATTATGGATTGTCTTATGAAGAAGAAGTCCATGTGTTATGTCTGCAAAGAATAGAGGAGAAAAGAGATGTGAGAAAAGTGTCATTAAATGACAATTGTCTCACTGGGAGTATTTATCACACCTGTTCAAAACGTGACATCTTGTTTTGCCCGCGCAAAAAAAACGCAGCCGGACTAAGTTTTTATGGTTTGCAGTCCCATCATGCGTGTTAATTTCCGGCTGCATTCCTGAAGAGATGAAGAAGTAGATTATTATTTTGAAGAAAAAGAAATGTTGATGAGAACTTTCGCTCAGACAATGGAATTAAATACGAGAATTGTTTGGTCCAGTGCGATTCAATTGTGCAGCGGGTGACGACCGAACATTTAGTATGTTATGGTTGGAGGATCGGAAGCGATCAAGATTAGCGTTCCGATCCCAACCAACTTTCTCGTCTGCTAATCTTGGTTATTGCACAACCGTAGACATACTCAATTTTGCTAGGGGTTTGACGTCTTTTGCCAGAATGTTCAAATTTCAAACTTGAGAGAATGAGCAAAAGTGTTGGCGCTTTATTATAATGTTTTAGTGTAATTTCGTAATCAATAACATTATATCTAAAACATAGATATTACAAAAAAGACTAGACGTACCTCGCTGTCTGACTATGGGTGACGGTTGTCCGAATATTTGTGATTAAAAAAATACTCGTGGTCGGGGCTGCAGCGCCAGCCCCAAAGTGGGAGGGGGAGGGGTACCAAAAGCGCAAAAGCTCAATCAAACTAACTTTTAAAGTTTACTGGAACTTAAGGCTGGTAGCTGATTTGGGCAGCCAAATGATTACTTTATTGTTTTACAATACAATTCGACTGTGATCCCTTATTTAAAAGGTAAATGTCTAAACCAAAAAGAATTTGTATCAATCTGCATACATTTTTACACAACCTACAATCTGAACACAATATATCCAGGAAATACAAGGCTATTATAGCATTGTCTGTTTTGAACTTTATATTTATCTGTCTTCATTTGTTTCTCATGAACAAAAAGATAAGAGAATCAAGTCGAAACACCCAGTAGGCTTTGTCTAAACAAGGAAACTCAAATGTTTTTAACTGAGTTATTTAGTATACCGACGTCACTTGACAGATAAATAAGATGTTTCTACCAATTAAGATAGTGTTTTGTCATCACAAAATATACAATTAACAACTAAATCGTTCATACCCCTCGTAAATTTGATGTTTGTTGTGTGTATTGTAACTCAATAACGAAAGGTGGACTGGTGGAATTAGGGTCTTTGTTAAATACTTTTAGGTGTGAGCTTTAATACGTCACATTCTCAAGAAACATCAATCGGGAAAATCAAGTTTTCACATACTTACAAAAAATTACAAAACTTGTTAAGGGTTTGGATTATTTAGTTGTTAACTTCATATATATTCGACAGATCTTATCTATAGCACTATTCCTAACTCTACCCTAACAAATCTGCACGCCCGTTTGTAAACATCTTTTTACTTCAGACTATTGAGCCGGATACATGTAAAAACTATCAATAATCAAAATTTGTTTCCTGTAAATTAAAGCATTGTTGATTCACTTGTCACTGATTACAAAGCGGAAAGCGGAAACCAGAAGTGTAACGATAGGAACAATGTTTATTTACCAAAAAATGATGTGTTTGCAACTTTGCATCCTGTTTGTATGAATTGAACATGGTGTTTCTACTAATTCTGGAATTTACTGAGAATGAAGACATTGCAAACATCACATACAAGTTTTAAAAAATAGTATGTAAACAAAACTTTTAAAAAATGAGATGTCACAGCTCTATAGCGCATCCTCTGAAAAAATCTCTCTCTCTCTCTCTCTCTCTCTTTCACTATCTCTTTTAATCTCTTTCTTTCCCACCTTTTATACTCTCGTATATCATAAATAGACCCGTTTCTTTGTCGGCTTGGTAATTCATCACGTACAGGTCTAATTACTCCTGGGTGATGCTCTATTCTCATTCGTTTTATATCTGAAGACTTCATCTTTTGAAAATGTATCCGGACCAATAAATTTTAAGATTACGATTGGCGCTCTCTAAAGAACAGGTGAAGTCTGTAAAACGGGTTTCTTTCTTTCAGTACAGTGTCATCTTCGAGAAAATTGGCTATTATTTCTCAAACAATATCCCAGATTGGTGTAATAAAGCTCATTGGGAGGTAATATGTTGGTGCGGGTGGGTGAGGTCTTCAGCAACAGAGAGTTGGAGAACACTTTTAGATATAAGTGATTCCCTGCGCACACGACTACACGATCCTCCGGCGATCTCATTAATAATAGAAAGGGCGGTTCTATTGGATATGGAAATCTTAAAGGCCCACTGCACTACTTGCAGCTACTTGCGCCCTCTATATAACAAACAATGCCTAATCGGTGACCATTGCTCCCCCATGATCCTCTTTTTCTTATGTTAACTGAGAGCTGAGTTGATGAGATAACCACCTGTCCAGTGACCTTGCAGGGCAGTCTAATCCCTCCTATAAACAACGGCAGATAAGCTTAAATAACCACCATCCTCCTCTTTTATATTCTAAATAATGATAAGAATATTAACAACCGGAATTTTTATTGAATTTAAAGCCGAATCGGCTTCAAATCGTAGACAATCGCACGACTGGTCTTACGTCACTACGATTCTGAGCCGATTTTGCTTTTGCCCTCTAAAAAAGCCCTGAAATCCATTGTAATTTAGATTTTATCAATCATATGACTATTCAGAAATTTGAACGTTCCTATAAATAAAATCGTATCAAATTCTTCTAAAGCCTGGTCGTAGTCAGATCATGTAGTGTGCGCCGGGCTTTAGAGGAATTATTTGGGATGTGCATTCGGCGAACCTTGATCGTCAGGAGCCATGTTTTATAATAGCCTATTATAAATGAGGCTAACAAACCATTGGCCTCTTCATCCCTTAAACATGGTCACACATTTCGTGCATATTTTAGTGAAAATCATGAAATATATATTCAGATCAGAACGGATGTCACGTTGATTTTATGACTAAAATCATTCCGTTGCCGGGCTACAGAATAATAGCTAACGTAGGGAATAATAGGAATGGCGTTTGGACAGTGGGTACTTTATAAATCAGTAGATCAGGGGGCGCTTTTTTAAGAGCTTGAGGATTTAGTCGAGGGGACTATACTACCAAGCTCTTTTGATAGTTCAGTAGCCCTTCAAGATTTACAACAGAGAGTCGTATGAGATGTAAAATGGAACCAATTAACTATCCTTGTCGTTATTCCAACCAGGAATTACCTTCCGCCTCTTCGCTATAAATATTACAAACGGCTTCCATATTACGACCTATATATCTGATGCTTTTGGAAGGCACATCAACGGCGAGTGGCGTAGCGAGGCGTGGATCCGGCCATTGAGGGGGCACCGGCATAATTGGGGGCGCACCAGTCTTACCCTGCTTACTAGGGGAATGAAATACGATTTTGCAAAACCATCGATTAGTAAAAGGGAGGGTTAGAGGTGATCCTATCATCATCTTCTCGGGTAACCTTCTCCTCTGTCTTATATTTTTCCTTAAATCTTTTAAGCAATGCGATTGGGGGCACCAGCCCCCCCCCCCCCATTTTTACTCTGTAGCTATGCCACTGTCAAAAACATCAAGAAAATCCCTCACAAATCGAATTAAAAACTAAAATCTCTGGAGGATTATATGCGTAGGAGTCATATGTTGTAAATCTGTGTCTGCTACTGAGGAAATGATCGATAGAAGATCGAGGGGGCACAGGGGGCACTTGCCTCCACCCCCCCCAAAAAAATCAACTTACATATCACACATTTATATGCACATAGTGCACATTTTTATACACATACAGTATGAAAAAAAGATAATGAAAACAATTGTATGTTCCCTAATTGTTTCAAAACGGCCCGGCATCGAATTCAGTTTTTTTTAAAGGCACCTACAAATTCGCCCCCCCCCCCTTCCCAGAGAGCATTCGCTGTAAAAATATATGTTTTGCCCAGTCACGATCATGTGTTCTAAAAATTGTGGAAAAATTCCCCCAAGTTGGGCCTGTTATTGCCTAAAAATTGGTCGGACACAATAGTTGCCCCAACTTTTGGTCAATTTTGTACCCATCATCATTCTTTTAACAGTGGTGGATCCGCCACAGAATGGTATAATCTACACGTGGTACACATCGGAACCAGGCCGGCTCGTCTACATGACGGTGTATCCTGAATTGGTTTCATACTCAAGGGCACTGGATATACACGTATATAATTATATAAGGGTTCAATTCATACCACGATTACCACAATTAAAGCTAACCTAATTTCCAAGAGTGACTCGAAACATTTCAATCACCGCGCTTATATGTGTAATTTGATTTTCCAACAGGCCCATAATCATCAGTTTCGTAATCACGTGATGATGATTATGCGTTTTCGACCGGGATTTCCTTTCATAACAAAACAGTGGCACACACACACACACACACACACACACAAACAAACAAAATCATAATATTTATGGAATCATTTCCTTTTAATGTCAGTTTGAATAATATGTGTCATGTTTATTTTATATTTTCTCTTTCTGTTGCGATGACAGTTTGTTTCATTCTCTACTAGCAAAAAGCCATTAGATACAGGAAACGCGGTGATCATACACTTGACCCTAATTCGTGTGGTATGCACCCCCCCCCCCACCAAAAAAGGGCAGCCTAACTCCCTCTAGATAAGAAAAGTGAAACATGATTTCATTCATATATTTCCCTAGGGAGCATGCCGTGGGTTCTTGAAAGCATTAGGTAATAAAATCCTAGTTCTTTTACAATCATTTTTGTTCGAGTCATTTTGACAAATCTATTTAGAAATATTTTTTTCTTACCAAAGCATGGCTGTATTTTGGTAAACATTGGTAACAATTTAACGTGTTCCTGCCACTAACTTCATCCTCCTTCTCCTCCTCTCCTTATTCCCCCCTTCCCCCTGTTTCCAATTATCCTCCATCTCGAATCGAAATTAAGTGA